GGTTCCCTCAGGAACCGGGATGAGCCAGTAGTCTTCCTCATCAGTGAAAACTCTCCTCTGAGGGTTGATCCGGTTCTGCATGATGACCCTGTAGGTTTTTCCGGTTTTGCTGGAGGTGAAATTCTTGAACATTGCGTACGTATCTGCAGTCTCGATATCAGGTGTTGAGTAGATGCCTCGGCCGTAAGTTTTGCCAGGTCCTGCTCTGTAATGGGATCTTGTGAGGCCTACAGCTCCCTCAATGCTGGTTCCATGGAAGGAAACTGGCCACTCACCAGGAGAAGAGTGACTCCTCCATCCGTTGGGACCCAGCCAGGTGTTTCCATCAGGATACTTATTCTTCACCTTCAGAGCGAAGCGGTACCACCCCCAGGGCCGGGTGTACGGTTCTCCACCACGAGAACATCAGGAGTGATGTCTGAAATCATAATCAAACTGTGGGCCTAAGAAATCCTCCAAGTCTACGAACAGCTCCTTCCGCAAAGCTGACACTCCTGTCTTGGGTTCTAGATCCTCCCACTGAGAGCTTAAAGACAGCTCATTCAACAGTGAAGGCAAAGACAGTAGAGCAGAAGCTACTTGTAGTTGGGAGGATGTATGCCTCGATTCAAAGACATTGGAGAGAAAATTAAGAATGGTCAGTTCATCAGGTGTGGTGTGCCGTCCTTTGCGTTCAGCAAGAGGCCTCACTTTGGCCCCAGTGAGGGCAGAAAGAGCTTCCAGAACAACTGTTCTGTCGATGTCAGGCATGGTTCACTCAGACTGACACTAAAAATACTAAGTGCTGCTTTTATGTGGTCTGTGAACTCGTGCAAGTGGTGCTAATTATTTACAACAGGTTATAAAACATCTAAAGTCTTTTGCTTTCACTTTGATAACAAAAGGGCACGTAGTGGAAGTAAACATTACTGTAATGTGAACAATACTATATATACAATAGTACTTTATTGCAAAACTGTTGTTGGCAGTTACAGCTTTGAGACGTCTACAGTAAGAAGTAGTGAGTTTTGTGGCCTAGTTTTTGCCCATTACTCTCAGCAAATAGTCTTTATTTCCCCCAATGGTTTGGGGAAATGGAAGATCCTTCTGATAGAGTCACAATTTCAGCTCTAAAAATTCGAAATTAAATCTTTAAATGGCCCCTCAGTACCTGGGAGAACTTCTCTCTTATTATGAACCATCATGCCTACACAAGGTGCTGGCTTTGTATTAGTACCTAGAATGAATAAAGCGACATCAGGAGGGAGAGGCTTCTCATACAAAGCCCCCCAGCTTTGGAATAATCTTCCAGTCAGTGTTCGAGACTCAGACACAGCCTCCGTCTTTAAGTCAAGGCTAAAAACCTTTGTTTAGTTGAGCCTTTGGTAATTAGTTTTAGATAAACGCCTGTCAGATAAAAGGTGCAGATCTGGGGGTTCATGGTCATAGAGTATTGTGGTAAACTGGGAGTGTTGGTGCTGTCGTCCTGCTGGTCTCACACACTCACTCAGGTTTGTTGATGGTGGAGTGGAGGGACGCTGACTGTTACCTTCTAGCTCACTCTTTACAGAACTAACTCTGTGTGTTTCTTTGCTGAGTTGAGCAACTTCCCATCCTGTGCGTCTGATGCTGTTCTTCTTCTGCCCTGATCGAGCACCCACTGCTCACCAGCCTTCTGGACCAGTCTGACCACCATGGAGTTTCCTGCTGAGCAACGTTGTACAAACCTTACCTGCATGAACTGACTCTCCTGATGCTGCTGCTGCATTTTTAATCGTAGACACTGCTTCTCCTGCTTTTCTCCTTTTTCCGTATCTTATACTTATGATCAAATCTCATTCTGTGCTGCCAGTGTCGACTGCTGCTTTGTACTAAATGTAGCACTGTGTTCTAGAGAAACTACATTTTGTTCCTCTCTCAACACATCTGTAATGAGAATAAATGACAGTAAAGCTCACTTTGACTTTGACTGTTATACAATAATAAAGTCTTTGATTTGTCTCTGTACTTTAATCTGTACACGTCTGTACTCTATGTTTGTTTATGGTGCCGAGGATAAAGGACTGTTATCAGTGGGCACTGATAACAATCTGCATCACCACTGAAAAGTTTGGGGTCACTTGTCATAATAATAACTGTTATTCAGTAATAACTCATACAGTGTAGATTAAAATTCTATAAACTAAACACCAAAACTTAAACCAAAACTTTATTCACAGTTAAGAGTGTTTTGGGAACAACATAAAGCTAGAATATGGAAGTCATATTAAATAATCAGCTATATTTTTCTGTTAATTTATAAAAACACTCTAAATATATGTTCAATTAGTGAAATTTGGTTATGATTTTTCAAATATGAGGGATTGTATGATCAGTTCAGTCTCAATGATTTACAGATTTAGCAGTTATCATGAAATCACTCACAGATATTCATTTTCACAGCTTCATACGAACTGACTGAAACTTGTAAGAAATTAGTTTCATCATAGAATCATTTTATACACACATCTTCAAAAAAATTGGTTTTGGTTTTATATGAACAAAATCACTGGGCCTCATTCACCAATGTCTCACTAAGTTTGTTCTTAAATGTGTTCTTGAGAAAGGTGCTACGTCAGATTCATGACATTTTCTTAAAGCAGAGAACTGTTCTCACCTTTGTGCTCTTGAGTGGGTGTAGATTCTGTTCTTCGGAGAAGGAACGACAGTAAAGCTGATTTTTGACTTTTGTACTTTTGTATTTTTATACTTTTGTACAGTTTGTCGATGTGTTGACTATGTTTACTTTCAATGCACATCCAGAACTGAGGCAGAAGAAATCTTCTTTATTTTCACCATTACACTCTTTTTAAGTGTTTTATATACTTCTGTTTTCTATGTTAGGGAGAACAGTCATCCTCTTTCTTACTGATGGAATTTCTTCTGCCTCAGTTCTGGATGTATGTTGAAATTAAATGTAGTTGACACGTCCACAAACTGAAAGTACAAACGTCAAAGTGAGCTTTACAGTCATTCCTTCTTGTCACAGATATATAATAAACTCTTCGCTACAATAACCAACTCTCAGGTGGGACTGCTGTACATGTTCACCACTGTTCAAAAGTTTGGGATCACTGGGCTTCATTTACCAACCATTCTCAAAAAGAAGTTTCTTCTTAAAACCTACTTGCGCAGTTTTGGCAAAGATTCTGACATTCACCAGTGTTTTCTTATTTGGGATTTGTTCTGTAAGAACAGAATCTACACACACTCAAGAGCACAAAGGAGAGAATAGTTCTGCGCTTTAAGAACAAAATATGACTCTTAAATAATCTTTTGGACCCCCTGAATGTCTCCTGATCAAAATTCTGGGGGGTTCCTGAAAATAAGCTTATTATGATGTTATGCTGTTCATTAAAGAAAAACAGACGCTCAAATCCAGATTCAGTGAAGCTCATTCTTTATCTACTTCACCCACAATCAGCTTCAGTCTTTGGTGTTCTTGACTAACTAGAGCTGCAGCACTGCTCTGCCTCAGGGTGGCGCTGTAGCAGACTGGTTCACTCAGTTGGTCCTTCATAGTCAAAAACTATAACTCTGCCCGGCATCCTCTTAAAAACTTTACAATGTGCTGCAGCAGATCTGTAAATCTGAGAACTCACCCAGCTTCCCAAGAGTTTGGTGTAAAGAGTGACTGTTCCTCATTTCTCACACTGAAGACAGAAGAGGAGATGAGTAAGATCTCAGTTAATGTGAGGAAGAGCACATCACCAAACTAGAACAGAGCATTTACAGAACAACTGATAAACTACACATTTTGTTGCGATTGAAGCATCAGTGCCGCTATGGTGAGTGAGTTAGCAGCCAGACAACATGGGACCCCCGAATACCAGGGGGATTTCACACACTGACTAGAACAGTGCGGAGTGAAGCAGGAGGTCTTTGTTTCAGATCTAAAGGTAAGCAAAGGACAGAAGAACAGAAGCGTTTGGGTGGCTGGTGACAATGTTCAGAAGAACTTTAAGTCACTACAGATATGAAATCTTTCGTTCTCCACAAATCCTTCTTATATTTACATTTTAATCAACAAATAGTTTCACTGGAAGACTCATGAATACAGTATCAGACCAAGCAAAAATGATCATGTACATCCAGGATGAACTCTTACTTTTCAACTAGTCAAGGCTGGTATACAAACATGGTTTTGATATATAGTGAGAGAAAACAAGTATACAGATTCAGATTTCTGTTTTTGTTATTTGTGGCCATGAAGAGCGACCATACAAAGAGGCTCTTGGAAAGCACTGTATTTGTGGTAAGAGAGAGACATTTAATGTAAATAAGTTGTTGTTAGCTTAAAGGTGTGCACAAATTTGTGTTATTTTATGTCTGGGATGAAGGTTGAGGGTGGCTGGTGACATTCCCTTCAGTTAGGCTGTATGTTATAAGCCTTTAAGCCTTTCGGCTTGTTGTTTAATAAAAGAGCATTCACTTTTAAAGCTCAATGTTTCCTGTGTATTCTTCTTTGCTGACACCACACTGGTGTCAGAAGTAGGACAGTGCTCCATCAGACTGGAGAGGAATTGTGCTTGCACAAACTCAAAGTGAACAGCGGAGAAGACAGAGCTTAGCCTAAGATGATGGAAGAGAAAGCAACGCGGCGAGGCACAGTAGCGCTGCGTGGCCAGAGGATGTTAGGCGGCATGGACTGCAATTGCCCGCAACCCTCCAGCGAAGTTGTTGTCAGTTTAAAGATGTGTACATGTGTTATTTGTGTCATACTTGTGGCACTGTGGAACTCAATCTGTTGCAGATTCCAACATACCCATTTATGGGTAAATTAAAGACTTAAACTAAAAAAATTGTTCAAAGCATAAATATTCTGAAAATGAAAAACAGATATCACATCTTTTCCTGAAATTATCTAAAAAGCGATGCATGAACGGAGTACGTTACGCGGTTCAAGCTGTATTAATTGTGAGAGAAAAAGAAAAACATAACAGGGATAATAACACCTCTGACTGATGACATGCACTAAGGATGTCCGTATCATCAGATGTCCAGAATATGAGGCCAGAATGCACAGAAACACTGTCCAAAGAGCAAAACAAATATTATTTGTATCTGCATTTAATGTGTAAAAACCTCCCACAGTCTTTCTGTTTTACAATACACAACCATAAATGTGCTTTTTTTGCAAAAATATGTGTGTTTATGCTGCTTTATAATAACAAAGTGCATGTAACGCATCTGTTTCATAAATACTTTTACAAAACTGGTCACATTTCTAGAATTGAAAGATTAATGAATATGTTCTCTACACAGTTATTATAGATCATATATAGGAAAATAAGCTGGATCTAACAGGGCTGGCTGTGTAAACATTGGGTCAGAGAGCAACTCTGTTGTCTTTGGCCCATTTCTTCATGATGCGGATGATGTACTCCACTTGCGGGTTCCCTGTGCTGCGCAGCATGGGCAGCACCTCCTTCAGAGACTCTCTGCAATAAATGAATACATGAACTAATTAAAAAAAATAAATTAAATAAACTAATTAATTCAAAAGACATTTATATGTATGCTTTCGCTGATAAGCAGGTTTAAAATCAAACTGACAATTTTAACCACATAAAAGTATCACAAAATCACCAGAGATACACAGCCTGTCAAAAAAAATTTCAAACTTTTTAATCCAAATTATTGTTTCTGTCAGAGGAAATTGACCATATTAAAGTTTAAACAGGCTTATTTAGAGGAAAACTATATCAAATGTGTAAATATCTGTGCCATTATCAGTGACAGTTTAGGAAGAACACATTATTTAAAACCTGCTCTTCACATCAGGAAGATATTTTGATGAACGTGAAGATAAATATATACACAAAGTATTAGCACAGAGCTGATTTATGATAAACTAAACCTGCACAGGGAGTTACAGTGTAAAAATCCTAATTTTAAAAGAAGGCAAACTGTCTGATATTCACTGTGAGTGGCTGATATGTGCTGTTTTTCATGTTCTGCTTTCTGAGTGTGGTCTCTCTCTAACCTGGGTTCTCTTCCTGCCAGGATTAGCTGGAATATTCCGACGCAGGCCCCCCGCTTCCCCTCCCAGTACTCAGGGTTCGGGTCCAGTCTCTCTAAAACATCAAACGCCTTCGCTGCATAATAGAACTGACCCATCTGCATAGAAACAACAAAGCACGGGTCAAAAACTCTGATACACCATTAACCTCCACTGCACATTACATCTGTTACATCATATACTGAGTCATATTGCTGTAAAATACCCTGTACAGTTTACATTCTGAGCACATTTATATCATGCAACACCTGCGCACAATTTCCTCTGTATCTATTATGTGTATATTCCCTGCACATCCAGTTTACATGGACATATCCAAGAAGTAATAACCAAAAGTAGTTATTGAATAATTTAGATTAAATACTGAAAAATTCATAGCAGATACTGAATAATTTATACTAAATACTGAATAATTCACAGTAGACTGAATCATTTATTGTAGATACTGGAATAAAAACTTGTAAGTTGTGTTTACAGCAGTTGGCTGTGTTACTGATGTCAGAGTTCAGCTGTACAGAACCTTGTAGCAGTCGTTTGCGATGAGCTGCAAGAGGCTGAAGGAGTCGGACGAAGTTTCCATCTTCAGGTAAAGTTCCCACGCCAGCCGGGCTTTCTGGTTCATTATATCTAAAAAATAGTGTACATATTTCTATATCAGAAGTGGACGATATGTTTTCATTATCATAAACAGTTTTGTCACAGTGCTCTTCCTAATTCATACTGTGAAACATGGTGTTAGGTTAGCAGTGCAGCCTTCAGAGTTTAATCAGAATTCAATAAATGTACAAAAATATCTATATAGAAAGAATAAAGACTTAGATAAACAAGACGTACAGCATCGGGCCAGCCAGCTCAGATACACATAATCATTCTTAATCTTTTCACTCTGGATCAGCAGGAACACCTGTTAACATTCAGAGGCAGGTTTAAGAAGGAATCACTCATGCACACTTAAACAGAACATTTTTAGTTTAAAGATTAATGTAGATTGGTTTCTGTGGTTGATTAGGGCCTACGTTACCTCCTCTGCCTCTTTGTAGCTCCCTAAAGCAGCTTTAGCCTGAGCGTAGTTGAAGTTAAAAGTGTCGTCAGTGTAGAAGTAACTCTAGAAACAGAAACAGGATCAATGTTTATAATTACTGACAAATTCCATCATTACTATTGATACAAAGGCTAATAACACTGATGCAGTAATATATTACTATTATCATTATTTTCATTAATTATACTATAATAGTAATATATTACTAATACTAATACAGAATTACAGTGAGAAAAAAATAAATAGGAAGTATGCACAAATGCATTCTTGCTGACGAATTAGGGCATACTTCTATTTCTGTTGCTCTATTAGGACGGTATTTTTTCATTTACATGGTTATAGTATGGTGTAGCTTATTTGTTATTTTGTTGATATGTTTTATTTTGAGCCAAAAAGGTGCTATGAAACTAAAACATGATTTGATATTGATTTAAAATATGATAAAGTATATCATTATTATTATTATTATTATTATTATTATTATTATGAGCTGACCTTGACTGAGTTGAGGTAGATGAGTACGTCCTCAAACTGTTTCAGTAAGAAGAAGCAGGAGGCCATACACTGCCGACCTGGGATCGTGTCTGGAACAAAACACCAACAGACAGGCTCAATAAACTCCGCTACTCCATCAGCATCAGGCTTTTTAATAAGCTGTAATTCAGATTCCACAGTTTATAGCCATAGTGTATATTTATTTTAAATTCATTTTTTATTACTTTCTTTATTTATTATCATTGCAATTATACTATTATACTACTTATTTCTTTTCTAATTATTTCACATTTAAATGCATATTTCTTTTTACTTTGTACACTTTCAACGTTATTTTGCAGCAATGTAGCAATTCACAAAAAAAATCTGAATTCAATTAGAATTCCATTTTGAATTCAATCTGAATTCAATTCCACAAGCTAATATGTTAGTCATGATCTAATGCACTAGTCATGACTTAATATTAGTCACATTCTAAGGCTCTAGCTAGCCACAAGCTGTGTTAGCCATGATCTAATGCACTGCCCATAGGCTAATATGTTAGCTTCGATGTAATGCAAAAGCCATGAGCTAATGCTTTTTGATCCATCGCACTAGCCACACTAATATGTTATCCATGACCTAGCCATTAGCCATGAGCTAATATGTTAGCTCCAATCTAATATTTTAGTACCAAGCAAACATTGAAGACACAAGCTAAGAAGCTAGTAACAATACGATGATACGATATGATGTGATGTGCTGCTTTTTAAATGTAAGTGGAGGAACTGTTTACAGCAGGAGTGGACAAAGGGCTGGAGTCCAGTACAGTTAGCTGGTTTCCCTGCTGTAGCGCTCCAACTGAAGCTGGTAATTAAACGCTGAGGTGAGTCAGGAAAATCACCAAACTGTGCAGGAATCCAGCCCTCCAGGACCACAGCTCCTCACCACTGACTTACACAGCAGTGTTACATTCAATAACAACACACAAGATTTTTATTTTAGCCAAAAAATGAGAATTATAATTGTTTCTAATGGTCCAAAATGGATGCAGTTAATCACCACCTTCAGACTGATGTATTTTCACACCCATAGAAACTACTGTTTGATCAGAGCTGTAAGGTGACCATACATGGCCATCAGAAATGTGCTTAACGCACAGAAAAGCCTGTTCAGTGGAGCAGCGCTAACGCTGCTATTGTTAAAGATGACATTACCACATTCACTAGCTGAACCGCCAACCAGCTGGAAAAACTGCTGGGCAATCTTTAAATGATCTCTCTGAAAGAGAAAACACAATAAGACTCAGATGAGAGTCCATCACAGTGTAAATACATATCAGTAAATCTCAAGTAAAGATGCAGAGCCTCCTCAATCCTCTCAGTACATCTGCACATTTTCCTTTTTCTTTTCTTTGCTATCAGCTCGTAAGTTCTGAATGATCAACAGTACTGCTGCGCTAATGAGGTGCTAATTCTCTCCTATATATGTTCAATTATTAATAAAGAAAATTACTCAAATGAGAATAAATAAATAAGTTAGTTTACTAAAAAACTAATAATCACTTTTAGTTACTTTAGGTTTCACCTAAGCTACCTGGTTAGCTACATGGGCTAACCTGTTAGCTTATCTAGACACATTAGCTTACAGTAGCCAAATTAGCTAGCTAGCTAACATAGCCCTCAAAACAGAACATATAAACAACAGCTTTAGGTTTCAAAAAAGAGCTGTAAACTGAAAAATTAGTAAAATAACACAGATAGCCAGCTAACCACTTCCTCAGGCTGAGATTTTACTTTTACTGTGAAAAGGTTTATACTTTTTATGAGGGATCTGTAAACACAAAATCAAATATCAGTGTTAAATATCATTTTAAATTCCAACATCTGTCTAATACTGATCATATTTTTAAGGAAATATCTTCTGATATCACTGTGCATCCATAATAACTCACAGATCCAATTTCCTGCCCCAGAGCAGCGTTCACCACTCCCTTCAGTATATACTCCTGCACCAGAGAGAGAAAACACACTCAGTTACACAATTACACACCACATACTGTACACACACATCACTCACACACACACACACTGGGGGTGTAAAAATATGTGCTTATTTGTTCCAAATTTAATTCTTAGGCCACTTTCACATGTAAAAATGCCCCAAAATGTTGATGTATTGTTTTATTATCGACATTCCACTCAGTGGTGTTAGTCCCATTAGATTTGAACTATAATTATGTGCATCATTATAATCAATAATCATGGTGAAATCTGAGATTTCATGATACACTAAATTGTTTCCTAAAAGGGCTGTGTCATGGAAAACTGAATTTTCCTTGAATTTGAAGTAGTATGGAAACATTGTTAAAGTTTCAAAATGTCTTTTTCTTCCCACTTCCATATATGGAAACTAAACTGAAAATTTTGAATTTTGAACTCATTTACATATCCACATATTCTGTCTACAGTAGTTTAGCCCCACCCATTCATGTTGAAGTAACAAGTAGTGTTTCATCCCAGCCTGCTTTTTGAATAAGGCTCAAAACAGAGTAGCCCATCAGAACAGAGCTCATTTACATATATCAGTCTTAAAGGCACAGTAACAAAAACAAACTGCTTAACTCTAAAGGATAAGGAGAGGTTGGAAGATGGTCATGTCATTGATTATGTGGTACATAAAATCCATTTTTTTGTTTGTTTGTTTGTTTTTTCCCCAATTCAGTCGTATCCAATTCCACCCACTAGTTAAGACTCCCCCAATCACATGATACCACCAGCTCTAGGACGGTAAACTATGCAGCTGAATCAGCAGTAATTGAGAGAGATGGTACCTGTGGAGTGGTGGGCTCCAGGTCTTTAATCAGATTATACGCTTCCTGAACATCATCTACAGCAAAAACAGACACAACAGAACAGAGTGAAACTGGAGGGGAAGAGTCTCCTCTTTAAAGCACACAACCCTTAATTGATACAATCCCTTTCTTATCTAACTCCAAATATAGCTCAGTGCCCATGTTTATAGATGACAGTGAGTTGTACAGTGTCATAAACCACATAATCAAGTCTACTTAAAAGGGCCTATTTCATAAAAATTACCCTCACTGTTTTGAATTAAAGCAGGCTGAATTAGTATGTGAACACTGTTAAACGTCACTCCCTAGCACAAACAGTCCATATATGGACACTAAACTCCAAAAAACAGCCTGTTTTGAAAGAAACTGTTTCTGTGATGCCACAAGAACTAATTCATTTGCACATATTCATCTATTCAGCCTATAGCAGTGTCAGTTTCGAAGTTTATAACTTCATACTTAAGTTATATGAAGTGTTTCAGCCCGGATTGCTTTTTGAATGAGGACAGCCAAGAGGATATTTACATATCAGTCTTAAAGGCAAGGTAACACAACCAGCCTGTGTAACTGTAAGGGATAAAGAGAGGTCGGAAAATGATCATGTATAAATTAATCATGACCGTTTTTCATACATAAACTTACACAAATGTAATAAGTGGATCTCAGGAGAAAAAATAAAATACAAGAAAATTTACAGGCCCTTTAAAGCTGCTCTCAGAGGCTGAGGCTGCAGTGGTAAAGCATGTGTACCTTGTCTGAGGTAGTAGATGACCAGGTTGAGTCGAGCCTCAGAGATGACGTCGATAAGGGGGGGCAGAACCTGCAGCGCTCCCTCCCCTCCCCGAAACACCACCAGGTTATGGCGGATCAGCTCCTTCGCAAACTCAAACGAGCTGGAGGAGATATCTATCAGGTTCTTCAGCTCCGCCTGCGGAAGAACAAAGAGGCTCAAACTGAAGCAACATACACTATCTGTCCAAAAGTATCCAGACAGTCATTCATATGAGTGAATTTAGCTACTTTAAGATCACCCATGGCTGTGAGGGGGATATAAAGGCCCCCAGCATTGGGCTGTGGAGCAGTGGAACTGTGTTCTCCATTCAATACCTTTGGGATGAGCTGGAGTGATCCAGAAGTGACCATCCAACATCAGTACCTGACCTCACTAATGCTCAATCAAATCCTCAAACATCTAGTGGAACATTGTATAAAATACTACGGTGATGTTTCTGAGCCGGCCGTTAGGGGTCTCCAAATCCTTCCTCAAAAATGAAAGCAAAGCCAACTTGCAAAATACATGACTCTTTTCAACCTGGTCTTTTGGCATCAACTTAGAATGTAATACCTCTAGTAGTAACAGATTTTTAGTTTTATGATCATAAATGTTTAAAATCTATTTCAAGACTTTTTAAGCATATGTTGAAACCCTGCATATTATTATCTGTATTGTGATCTAAGTATTGCCATCACAGATTCCAATTTGCACAGTTTAAGCAAACTCAACTAACATATTTAATTAATTTTGAGCTCTTTTTGTTGTGTATTTTATGGTGCTCACTTCAGCAGCTTTGCCGTTGTAGAGTCGGAAGTGGTTACAGGCTTTTAGGTTGAGCGCTATAGCAGAGTCTGGAACGTTCTGCAGGTAAACAGCCAGAACCTCCTGAGACACGTCGTAGTAATCCAGCTTATAGTAGCACAGAGCCACATACACGTTCAGCGCCAGAAACTCCCTACAAAACAACAAAAAACAAGAGACACACCAAAACAAAGTCCAAAAAAAGCAATATTATGGCAGAAAAAAATATTTTTAAAGGGCCCACATTTTAAAGGACACTTTGTGGAAAACATTTTATGAAAAAAAGGATTTTGATGTAGAATGCAAACTTTAAGGTTTAAGATGTTCACTCTCTGGTCCATACAGTCCATATATGGAAACTGCAAAGCTGCAAAAACAGCCCAGTTTAAATTCACTATTTCTGTGATGTCACAAAATACCCATTTACATACACCCACCTCTTCAGCCTACAGCAGTTTAATCCTGCCCACTCATACCAAAGTTATAAGGAGTGTTTTAGCCTAGTCTGCTTTTTAAATGTTGCACAAAACAGGGCAGCCAATCAGAACATTTAAATACATCAGTCTTAAAGGTGCAGTGACAAAAACATTCTAAGGGATAAAGAGAGGTTGTAGAAATTAATTACGTCTGTTTTTGGTGCATAGAACTGCACAAACATGATAAGTAGTTCACAGGGGGGAAAAATGATGCAGCTTTTAAACTTAATAAACTAAGCAACCGGTTTAAGTTGAAATTTTGAGTTTATTAAACTTGACTAATTGAATAATAACAGTAGAATACCTTGAATTTTACATTTGTTAAGTTTCTATATAATGTTCAGTGATTTCAAATTAACCAGGTTACTTCCTTTTATAAGTTTAAGAGCTGCATCATTTTTTTACAGTGCAGGCTTATAATGTCTGAGCAGAGAATTTACAGATGCGTCAAAAGCTTAGTCTATTTATTCACATCATTTAACTGCTGTTATGAATTCACTGTAAAATGTGAAACTTCAGCAGAGATCAAAAAAGGGTCATAACAGATAAGACACAATTAAGTCTATTAGAAATTACTTTGATGATTTAGGCATGCAGTTAGTACAAAGCTAAGGTGGTGACTATGAGGTTTCATTGTTTTTTTTCAGCCTTGTAGCTTCAGAACCTGTGTTTTCACTTGTGTATTAGGTATAATGTATTAGGTACCTGTTCTGCAGTAGAATGCGTTTGTAGATGTCAATGGCCTCCTGGTAGTGAGAGCGCATGTAGTGTATGGAGGCCAAGCTCAGCTGATCCTCCGTTACATCCTCCAAGTTCTGGTGGAACCCCATCAGCTTCTTCTCATCTCCAAACTACACACCAACACAGGGACAGAAACAATTACTGCTCTAGTTAAGGTGAACTCCACTGATTTTTCAAAATTTCTGCATAAATAAGTTGTTAAGATGTAAACCGAGTCATTCAGAGTGATTTGGTGTGAAACGCTCTGTTCTAGAAAAACTTGCAGAGTCAGAAATGTTCACAGTGATGGTGAAAGGAACCAGACGTTCCACTTCTAAAAGCTCCCTCACAGAAAGTTATTACATGAAATGGTTATGAATAAACTGCCTGATGTCTGAGACATTGGTGCTGTGAGGCAAAATAGTCCCCAAAGAGAACTTATCATCTTAGACGATTCACTATTTTCCCCATCATCAACATTCCATATACAACTCAGAAGACACGTGTAGGTTCACTGGTGGTTTTGGATAATAAATAAAATGTCTATATTTGTGTTGTAGTCATGGCGACCACTGGTTCCTATCACTACCACTGTAAAGAAATCTGAACCATTTCACACCAAACCACTCTGATTATAATCTCACACACTGAATTATACAGAAATGTTTTTAAAAAATGCTGGAATTATCACAAACATTGGTGATCATTAGTAATAAAGCCCTTCTGATGCTGAAACAGTACAGACCTTGTGTGCTAAGTGAAAGAGCAGCCGGTTCTGCAGCTGACTCTTTGGCCCTGAGAGACAGAACAGAACAGAACAGCGTAACAATACAGTGACATCATTCATTCCACTGAAAACACTGGAATGTCCAATCACAGCTTCTCAGAGGAGGTTTCCAAACCTTTGAGCGCCACCTCTTCTGCTTCTTTATAAAGGCCGAGGAAAAACAGAGAGCAGCCCAGATGAACCCAGACCTCAGCGGGACAGTCCGGTTTGAGAGTCAGAGACTTATATTCCTGAAACAAACACAAAAACACAGGACAGCAATTACAGCTGATTAACAGCTATATTTTAATATATGATTTAAAAAGCTAAGGATAAGTTATACTAGCCCTCTAGCAAACATGAAGTAAATACAGTGCTGTGTCGTAATATAGGTGGGGTCGGTTGGCACATTCATGTTGATTTTAGGGTTGGTTGGCACATGTGTCAGTTAGTGCAGGGCTACTGTCACAAATATATTTCATATTCTGTGCTGCACACATTCTAAATAGCACATTAACACAGCTAGAATGCAGTGCAGCACCACATCTCTGTTTATATTAAATTTACATCAAATATGTAAAAAGTTCTACTGTAAAAAGTTTTACTGTAAAGCACTTTGCATTTAATGTATGAAAGGTGCTACATAAATAAAGACTATTATTGTTATTATTATTATCATCTACCTAGATGAAAATAATGAACTTTTTCTCAACTAACATTCAAAATATGTATACATTTTTGTAGTGGTCAAAAAATGTTTTATACTTTATTATATTAGTATATGTCTAATGGAAATTGTGTGCCGATGGTGATATATGATGTTTTGCACCTGTATTTGGCTCTTTTGGAGTTCAACAATCTGTCCTAATCTGAACATCTGTCTCAGGCTGATAAGCAATTATCTGCTGATACCGATGTAATTTGATATCATCGTGCATCTCTATTTATTATACTAACAGTATACTGGTATATGAAGGACCAAAAAAAATTTTCAACACAGTGATGTTTTAGTGCCTCAATATGCAACGTTTATAATGTTATTATGTATTATTATATTTTGTTTTTAGAGTCACAGAGCAAAAAATAGACTAATCTACTTTGTGCACTGTTATTGCATGGCTTGTGTTAATACAGCTTACCATTGTAAAACATTCTATATTTCTTTTATATTTTTTCAGTTATTTTTTACCCATTTTTACGACAAAGTGCAATCGCTAGCCCACTACAGGCCACTGGCTCCCACTCAGTGCCGGCCCGAGAACCACCAGCCAAGTGGTTAGAAACCCTGTTTTATAATTTATTCCTGTAAAGCTAATCTAATAAAACATCAGCTGAGGACTTCTAAAAGTTTTTTATGGAGTTTTGTTTGGTCACTAAATAAATGTTTCTGTCCTTTACCTCCATAGATCTCTTGTGGTCTCCGAGGTGAAAGGCGCAGTAGCCAATCCACTGGTCAGTATTCTCTTCTGCTGCCCCTCCATTCCGCTGGAACTGAAATTACAGACAGTTTTTAGCTGTGTTCAGACCCCGACCAGCCTTATAAACAAATAAAAGGGCTGGCCGATATGACAGAAATATAACATCACAATACTTAAAGACACGTTTTCGATACACAATATGCATCACAATATTTAAAAAACTATAAAAAACTATGACAAAAAATATTGTCATGTTGTCCTGATAGCAAGTAATACAAAGGCTAATGGAGTGATACTGATACTTTTCTTCTTGTTCATATAAAAAAGGGAAACTATGACTTCAACAGTAAAAACCAGCAAAAATGTGCACATCAAAAATTTGTAAGCATTTGCATTAGTGTTATATAAACTCCATCATAAAGTGACTGTTTAGCCATTTCAAAACACTCACTGCATCTCATGCATTTGTAGGACAAAATTATTTGCTACAATCATCTTTTTTTTATTTTAAGGGGAATTCCACTGATTTTCCAAATGTTCTGCACAATTCAAACTATTCAGAATATTTTGCCTCACAGTGCCCTGCATGTATCTGACCACCATAAATGGAGTTTTAGGCCAAAATCTTCTCAAAACAATCATAAAACAATGTCTCGGACATCATTCATTAGCGTGTTCATAACCATTTCATGTAGTAATGTTCTGTGGCATATGTAGGTGATATAGTTTATTATATTATACTGCCCCCCCCTACTTCAAGTTCAGTATGGTTTCGAATCAGTTTTTGGTTAAGATTCAGTTATTTTTTGTATTTTTTTGTTTTAATATCTTGATCTGATTATGTACCACACAAACTGCTTTGGCTCAAGATACACATTAGATTTCATATTTTTGTGTCTGAAGTAGTTAACGTTAGGCCCTTTAGAGCCTTTAAAGATATCTGGTCCCTATCACAACCACTGTGAACAATTCTGACTTGGTAAGTTTCTCTAGAATGGAGCATTTTACACCAAACCACTCTGAATTACTCTGTTTACATCTGAATGACTTAATTATGCAGAAAATTAGAAAAAAATGTGGAGTTTACCTTTAATAAAAAGATATATTGCTTAAAGGGAACAGTAGCGCTTATATTTTCTTGTGACGGTCAGTTCTTAAAAGAACTGTCAGGATCTTAAGAATTAACACTTCAGCACTGATCTGCCTACCCCTCTAAAAGACCACTATGATTTAATTCACTGCAGCCTGTTCTCCATGGCAGTGGTCATCAACCCTGCTCCTGGAGATCTACCTGCTAGTAGAATTCAGCTCTAACACACCTGATCCAACAGAAGTCCAGAGAAGCCATGAGGTAGTTATAATAATAATAATAATAATAATAATAATTATATACATACATATATATATAATAATCTTGAGATTATCTTGAAATCACAAGACAATTAAGTCATGATCTCAAGATAATCTTGAGATCAAATAATAATTTGTCTGGTTCCTATCATCACCACCACTATGAACAATTCTGACTTTGTAAGTGTTTCTAGAATGAAGTACTCTCTGAAATTACTTAATTATCTCGTGATCTCAAGATAAAGTTATTATCTCGAGCTCACAACTTAATTATCTTGCAATCTCAAGATAACAAATGTTATCTTGAAATCACAAATTAATTATCTTGTGAACTTGAGATAATAAATATCTTGTAATCTGAAGATAACAGTCCAGAAAATTATAGCCACCTCATGGCCTTTGTGGATTTCTGTATGATCCAACTAATTAGGTGGACGGATGAACTGGATCAGATGTGTTCAATCAGGGTGGGAAGTGATCTCCTCAGGAAGGTAGATCTCCAAAGCGGGGTTAGTGACTTTTTGCATAGGGTTTGATGTGACAGACGTTAATTGATCAGTAATCGGACAGAGACAAAAATGATCACATGTAGAAGAAGCACAGAACTGCACTGTTTGCACCTCCAACAGTGTGAGGGCTCCCAAGTAATCTCTCTGGTTCAGATAGTCCTCTAACCGGGGGGTCTTCCTGCTTTTGTTTTTCCTTTTCTTCTCGCTGGAGTTCAGTGCTGTGTCTCCCCCAACCGCTGGCTTTACCCGAGACAGCAGCTGCAACATGAACACATGAGCAGAGAAATGTGGAAAAATCAGTTTAGTTTAGGATCTAAGAACCAAAGACCTCTATACTGACTCACAGCGCTGAACACAGCCATGAACACTCAAAAAACCCTTTTCATGATTAAAGGGTTCTCTGCATGGGGGAATAGTTCCACAGATTGCTGGAGAATGTGCTGTATATGGTTCTATATGAAAAGGGTTCTTTCATTGTTACAATGTTAAGACTGAAATAACAGAAGAAGCCTTTTCAAAAAGGTTCTATATAGAACCACCTACAGCACATAATCCATCAATCTGAAGAACCCTTTCATGATGCAGATAACCATTTAATTATGCAAAGGGTTCTTTGAGTGTTCATGGCTCGATTTAGAACTATTTTCTTTGCTAAAGAACCCTTGAAGAACCATATTTTTAAAGAGTGCAAGTTAGCTAACTACCTATGTTGTACATTAAATTGAGCTCCAGTCAGTTTTCCTGTACTCACCATGACTGGTAACTGATGCTTACTGAAGTCGAAGACAATGAACTGTAACCTATTGATCCGTTTCTCACACTGTAACAGCCATCCGCACAGAAATATGATGTAGAAAAGAGAAGTTAGCTACACCTTCTGCACCAGATCAGCTGCGCTTCTTAACTAGGTTACATAGCTTTAGCTCGCTAGCAACTAACGTTCACTGTTGTTCATGTTTCTGCTAACGAGCTTTTAAACGTGTTTGTTCAATTAACCGCATCCAAATCGGCCGCGAAACGTTTTTTACTTAGCTAGTTAGTTTAGCTAGTTATTATAAACAGCTCAATTATTTCCCTCCTGAGCAGCTATCACGACGCCATGGAAGCTCGAGTACCTGTGTTAGCTGCTAACAGGCTAGTGCTAACGCAACATATCGTTGCTAGGCAACCGTTTTTCTTCCCGCACACATAAGGCACATTTCGGTATTTTTTTTAAGAATAATTCTCATTCACACAGAGCACTAATAAGGCACAATCACCACATATTTCCACAATTTGATGTAAAAAAAAAAAACAGAAATGTATGAAGAAGTCCACATATAAAAAAAAATATTTTTCGCCTTCGTATTATCAAGCCCCAGTGGCCTAATGGATAAGGCACTGGCCTCCTAAGCCAGGGATTGTGGGTTCGAGTCCCATCTGGGGTGGACAGTCACTTTTTTTGACTTACGGTGATTTATTGTTTACACCACGGGAGGATGTACCCATTTAAACGCATTATATACTCACTAAAGTATGTATTCCCACTTTTAGTGTATTAGAACATTCTGCATCATAAAACACAAAGATTTGAGACTTCAGAGTTGCTTAGTGGAGTTCAGTCCATACATTTCTTACACAAATGCTAAACAAAAGCTGTGCTTTCTAGTGCCCCAACAGTTGTTTTCCATACAAATCTGTGCTTGCGTTCTAAATTGTTTTTTAGAAGGTTTCAATCAATGAGCACCATTTCAGTCACACATCTTTAAAGCCTTTAGAAGTGGCTTACGAACTTGCGTACAGCTCCTATAGGTCAACTGTTTTACCTGTGTTTTACCGATTTATTTTGGACCATCCATACAGCCCGAATAGATTTCACAAGCAGGTCAAGCCATTTGACTAAAAAGTAAACTTATCATTTGTCACTAAACTCAGTATTTTGGTCACATGGGACTATTGATTTTCAACAAATATCTAAATCTGATTGTAATTTAAACTATGAAAAAATAATTTACCATGTGGTATAACTGTACAAGAGTTAATTTCCTCAGATCATACTAAGTGTAGTTGTTGGACACAGACTAATGAAAGATACATACCACGAGCCCGTTTGAAACAGTAAGTCTCAGCATATCAAAAATATTCTTTATGCCTTTTATCAACTCTAACTGGAATGTGGAATTCTGTGTGCTAGATACACTACCTAAAACACATTACATAATAATATATCTACATTTCATATTAATAGCTAATAACACATTTAATATATAAACTCTAGTATTAAATATATATTTTAATATTACCAATATTATTTCACAACATTAATTTATAAATGCATGTATAAGCATATCTAAAATTATCCAACACTAAATCGCTAATCAGGTTTGATTCCATACATTTCTCAATAAAACAAAAACAGTGCACCTGAAACTACATTGCTTATGCTAATGTTGCTACTGTTTCCATTTTTAACTTATTAGAATTCAGCATTTTAAAATGCTAATATTTCACTGCTGTCAGAACAAAACCTTGTATCTCTAAAATGCTAACTTTACAGGAAAAGATTTTACTTTTAATGTAAGCCAATGGAACCAGAATTTTTTCCCCTCAAAGTAAAATTGGGTTTCTTTTGGTCCATTCATCATGAAAGGGCAACAGGCATTTTCAAATTGTCAAAAACTGAAAAAAAAATAGAGATACAAGGTTTTGTTCTGACAGCAGCAATTTGAGACTTCAGAACTGCTCAACAAAACAATACTTTATATTTGGTGTTACACCCCAAACGGCTATCAGTAAAAGATACTGTTGATGAGGAAAAAGAAAAAAAAAAAAAGACAAAAAAACAACACTTTAAACAAGCCATCATGTTTATTGACTCCTCAGCAACACAGCTGTGGGCTGCAGAAAGCTGTTTATGACCAGTCGGCAGTGGAGCCACCCCAGTCTCCAGCCTGAGCGGTGGGAGCAGCAGACCAGTCCTCAGTTGCAGGCTGGGCACTCCAATCATCTGAGGGTCACAAAAGACATTCACAATTACCTTCTGAGTCAAACGAGAATGCAAGTATTTACCCGTTAGGACAAAGAGGAAGAGGACACTCACCAGCATAAACCTCGGTGGTGGCAGCGGCGGGGGCAGGCTTGGCTGGAGGAGAAGAATACACAAGAGTCACCACCACAAAACTCACGTTTTTCCTCAGACAGATTTACTAAAAGGCTTGGAATTACTTATTTAATACACAATATTGACTCGCAGAACAGTATACTGTGACACTGACAAGCTGCCATATTGCAATTCTTCAAGTCTGAGTGAGTCTTTAAACCATTTGCTCCAAGCAGTTTCTTCTTAGATTGGTTCTATTTTGTGTGCAATACTCATGGTGCAGCACCCAGGAAGTATCTGCTCATTAACTTTAAAACTAAATAAAATATTTTATTTATATATATATATATATATATATATATATATAGGAAAAACTGATATTGAATGTTATTACTAGACAGTGCTATTTTAGATCATTAATTCTGCCTACTTAGTTTGATATATTACTATTAACAGATCGAAGGAGTATTTTGAAGATGGCTCACGCTCAATGCCAGCGGGGAACTGCTGGATGGGCACTGAAGGAACCTGCACTCCCTCGGACCAGTCGGCCACCTCCGGCTGAGCGAAATCGGCCACAGGTGCCGTCCATTCGCCCTGGAACTCCTCCTTACCCACGGCCTTCTCTGCTGCAGCCTGCTCCTCCTTCTCAATCTGCAGAGGACGTTCATATTACATTGTTTGCACTGAATGAGCACTTAAAACTACTGATATCAAAAAATACCGCCTAATATGAAAAACTTACTATATGCACTAATTGCACACAAACTTCCATCAAATATACATTCAACTACACAGTAAATCTTACTCACAGAACACGTCACTTCAATTCTTCAGTAAATTAACTAAATAAATATGTTTTACTGGTTAATATCTCATGAATGAGTTAACATCTGAAGAATACTGCGCTATCCAAACCCCTTTTAAATCCCTTGTACTTTCCAGGTGTGGGCAATACTGTACCTACCATAATAAAAACACTTCTCCCATATCATGAATATCCTTAGTACATAAAGAACATGCTTGTTTCATTGGATATTTAGCCCTGTTTAACTGATTTAGAGCATTACAATTTATAAAATGTGTAAAAATCATCGTGCCTAGATTTCTGATGGCAGATTTTAAATGTAACAATGCTAATACACTGGGTGTCAAAACACTGATATGTATTGTAAAAAGGTCTAAATATGACATTATCACCCTCTTCCGCATTTGTTTTTACTTTATTTTGTCTCCTCTTTCTTGGACCCCAGCAGGTGAAGCTTTACTGGACTTTTACTGAATATTAATTTGAATAATAATGTGGTGCCTCACCTCCTCTGGATCTCTGTAGAAGTACAGATCAGGCATGACCTCCCAGGGGTGTTCCCGAGAGATGGTGCCGCGCATCCTCAGAACCTCGCGGGCCAACATCCACCACATCAGACCCACAGAGTGAGGACCCTGAACACAGGGACAGAGTCTTAGTGATGCACACAAACATTCTGAACATTAATAGCTAACCGGAAACGGCTGCAGTACCTTGTTGTTGCAGGGGATGGCGATGTCAACGTATCTGAGGGGAGAGTCGGTGTTGCAAAGAGCAATGGTGGGAATGTTCACGTATGAAGCTTCGGTCAGCGGTTGGTGGTCAGCGCGGGGGTCGGTCACAATCAGGAGGCGGGGCTCCCTGAAGGCAGCCTGGATCTGATTGGTGAAGGTTCCAGGGGTGAAACGCCCAGCAAAGGTGGTGGCGCCAGTGGCAGCGGCGAATTTGAGCACAGCCCTCTGAAGGAGAAGTCGATTAAAAACATCATATTTATGGAAGATGGACTTTATTTTTTGGGGGGAAGTCTTCTTAAAAAATATATATATATATATATATATTTTCCTTTTCTGATCTTTGTATTAATAATACTGTCAATAACATTACCTTATGAAAATACACAAATTAAATTACTTAGGTACAAACAAAAAAACAACAAATATGGTTTCTTAACTAAATCTAACTAAATGTTTACATTACAAATGGGGAAGCAAATTCTTTAATACACGGGAGGTCATAAAACCTACATTAGGTCTGGTCTTATATAAACTAGCCATTTAGACCAAATCTGACCATTTGTCAACCTAAATTCTTAAGGTACAAGATGGCTTTTCCATAAATATACATTTCATGAACAATGTCATACCAACTGTGCAGTTGAGAGGGCTGGACTAAACACTTTATAATGCATTTGCCATGGGTGGGATGGGACTATGCGCAATAACATTGACATTAGTATCTGCATTTATTTAACATAATGCAACTTGTTATTTTTACCTACACTTTATTCTATTTCACCCTACTTTTGTTGCATTCCCATGACTGTTGTGCCTGCTGCCGAAGTTTCCCTTTTTATTAACAGAGTTTGTTTCCGTGCTTTAGATTTTGCACACTGCAGATTTGTATACATTGACAACTGCTAAACATCAACCAGAAGAGACCACTAGTGGATCAACAGCACACTAAGTTATGAGATGTTAATTAAAGCAAATAAAATCTAAATGCTTTTGGTTTAAAGGTTTAAATGCTTAAAAGGCTTAAACTAAAATGCATTAAAATTAATAATCAGAAATATTAAAATTAACTAAAAACTAAGGGGCTAACTTTCCAGAACCAGATTTAAGCCTAAACCTAGTTTCCGATGGTGACCGATAACTATTTTAGCAATTTAGTCTAGGATTAGGCTTAATCCAGGTCAGATAAACTGGCCCTAAAGATACTAAACTGCTATAAATTTAAAGGCCAGTGTGGCTCAGGTCACTATCAAACCCCAGTCATGGGGCCAGAGCCCTCATGGTGTTAGCGAAAACCCGGCCTGATTAATATAGCACACCTCCGACACCTGAGAACTGACAGCAGCAGCAGCACCAGGCTCTAACAGTGTGCACAAAACACAAACAGAGAAGCTAGAGACTGGACACAAACTTCTCTGAACTCATGACCAGCAATTGCAACGGTGGTGGTTACCTGGCCAGTGTTCCTGGAGGAAATTACGCAGACGTCAGCCGGGTTCTCAATAGCGACGATGGCCCGAGCAGCCAGCAGCAGCTTTTCCCATGTCTTCTTCAGGTTGATAATGTAAATGCCTGTCAGAAGAATTTACATTCATATTTAGATAAGAGAAACATTACACAAACGCTTAGAAACAACTGATTGCGTTGTAGATTCTCCTGTAATCAAATTTCTATGTTTCGAAATAGTGAACATAAACATTTTACAAGAAATTTATTTTTGACTTTTGTGTCTGAGGTCTGTTGTTTGGGGTGTTTTCACTTCACTGGCATCACAGCCCATGGAGGCTGATTGTTCTTTGAGAAAGTTATTGTGACATAAGATCAAGTTTGTGCCAATCTCCAAACACTCCTACCGGGCATGGCAGAGCGACCTATAGTTATGAGAGTTACTGTATATGACTCAGTCATGCTCATAAACAAATTAATGTCTTCATTATAATAGCTCTACTATGTAATAAACCAACGGAATGAATAGTTTTTTCTAATTTACAGTGAGTTCGATGTGCTGATCTTTCTTGAAAGTTTAATCCAATCTCCAAGCGTCTCATTTTCATGTTCCTGTAATTCTGAAAATCTTCCTATTTGAATTCCAAATTGTGGTCTCTTTACTCTTTGGACTAATCCACATCACAGAAATTTTGAACAGCCTACCAACTATAACATTAGCTGGCTACCATCCTTCTTAAGTTCAGACATTTGCCGCAAAAAAATAAAATGTGACGCCTCTAGCCCTTAGTGTGGTTCTTACCGTCACTCTTTCTCTTGTAGACGTACTGTTCCATCTGGAAGTCCAGGTTGGTTCCCCCAAGATGGGTTCCCGCAGCCAGGAACTTCAGCACATCCTCCTCCTTCATCTGAAGGACATCTAGACCTCCGGACATCGTGACCACTTTCCCTGCGCAACGAGTTTAGTGGGAGAGCTGGGCAACAGACAGAGATGAGTATTAGTGACCTAACTGGGTCCACAGAGCATTTACAAAAAACGATGTCTAAAGAGTAAAATAAGTCTAGTGGTAACTACTTTTTCAGCAGGTAAATATGTAGTGCTCTAAAGGGACATGTGGCTCAGGTCACTATCAAACCCCAGTCATGGGGCCAGAGCCCTCATGGTGTTAGCGAAAACCCGGCCTGATTAATATAGCACACTTCCGACACCTGAACACCGATGGCAGCAGCAGCGCCAGGCTTTAACAGTGTGCAATAAAAACATACTGAAACAAACTAAAGCATTAATTCAGTGCTCAAAAACTGTTTGCCAGTTATTGTCCGTTAGTTAATACTCACATTTCAAAAGTACATTTTAATTGTATTTTTACGTATTATTCATTTTTACTGCTTCAAAATTGGGTCATTCTTAGTAGTTTACACTTCATTTTGTCATTTTCTGGTTTGATATGGCCCTTTGTTTTACCTTATGTCAATGTTTACTACTCTTTTCAATCCCTTGTTCTATGTTCTAATGCTCGGCTACAATGCAGATGAGGGTCACCCTCCATGTACTAGTTTAGTTAAACTGTAGTAAGTAAGTAAAGTTTATTTATACAGCGCTTTTTACAACAGGTGTTGTCACAAAGCAGCTTTACAAGGAAATCAGCATTACAGAAAGAAATCCGGGTCCAAGCCCCCACGAGCAAGCCAGTGGCAACAGTGACAAGGAAAAACTCCCTAGGAACAGGAAGAAACCTTCAGAGGAACCAAGACTCAGAAGGGGAACCCATCCTCCTCTGGTCGACACCAGATAGTAAACATTGTTAGTACATAGTGTTTTATTCAGAGCTCAGGTTTATGGCCTACGTTGAACTTTAGAAAAAATGAAAGATTTACATTGCAAGCATACTAAAGCTGAGCTAAGACGCTCAACGTGCTGAGGCAGAAATTGTTTAAAGGAAATTTCATAAAACCTGGTGGTAAGAACCAGACCTGTTACATGAAACGGTTATGAATACGCTGTCTGATGGTCGAGACATTGTTTTATGATAGTTTTGAAAAGATTTTGGTTAAAAGGCAAAAGGATACATGCAGAGGCAAATAATCCCCAATAGTCACTATTTTCCCATCAACATTCCATGTAAAACTCAGAAGACACGTGTAGGTTCACTGGTGGTTTTAGGAAGTAAATATTCTATATTAGTGTTGTATTAGTGTCTATATTAGTGTTGTAGTCATGGCGACCCCTGGTTCCCATCACCACCACTAAAAAATCAAGTCTCCACAATCATTCATTTCACACCAAACCACTCTTAATCACTGTTTACGTCTCAACCACTGAATTTTAGAGGAATTTAGAAAACTTGGTGGACTTCCTTTTTCGTACGTCACAACCCGCAGTCTCCCATCTACCCAGTAACGCGTTAAAAACTGGTTTTTCACCGCCAGGTTGTGCAGAAATCAATTATTTTCATCTCTATCCGCGTAATAAGGTAAATACTCAGTATTTGATCTCAGTCTCTCGGTGCTGTTCTGTGTTAGCCGCTAACTGCTAACACTCAGCGTGGACGGCGCCAACCGGCCTACTCATCCCAACACTAAACCGAAGAAAAGACACCGTTTTCCACACTAATGTGAAACATTTGGACACAGTGACATTTAATTCAACACTTCATGCTGCATTTATACGATAATTGTTGCTAATAGGTGGGTTTTAAAGCGTTTAAATGTATAAACTCTGCTCACCACGAGACAACGCCGTATGGAGATCAGCGCACCACGGCAAAAAGAGGGCGGGAAATCCCGCTGACGTCAATTATATAGCCAGACGGTCAACCAATCAGATGCCAATCGGCACCGCGAACACCGCCCCCTGCTGTACAGGAGGACCCAACACATTCAGCACCGTTGGCTTGTTTCTAAAGTGAAGCTGCTTATCAAATCAAATCAAATCAGATTTATTGTCACATCACAAGAGTACAGGGACACAGGTGAGTGAAAAACTTGAGTGCGAGTTCCACAAATTATGCAGAGAACAGTATTTACACATAGATAAACAAAACTATAGATAGGATAGAAGAATAGATAAAACCAATTTAACTAAAATATATACATATAATCTTACACAATAACTTAAAAATAATAATATTGCACCGAGACATATAATATTGCACTGGGAATGTAGAGTGAGTGTAATCAACTATATACTATATATAGTAATGGATATTACAATGCTATGTAGATGTGCAAGTAATCACACTAGGTGTGGAGGTAGAAGATGGTACAGTAGGTGGCAGAGTATTTAGTAAAGTGCAAGGTACAGGAAGTTAAGTGGAAGCGCAGGGGGAGAGTATTGTCTTTGGATAGGTATTCAAAGTCCAGCTATGCAAGTAAAGTGCGGGAGTACAGTGGGTGCACGTACGTGTAATGGGAAGGGTTGGGCTGGGCAGAGCAGTGATTACTGGCTGTTCAATAGCCTGGTTGCATGGGGGAAGAAGCTGTCTTTGAGCCGACTGGTTCTGGCTTTTAAGCTTCTGAGCCTCCTACCACTCGGCAGCTGAGAGAACAGACAGTGACTAGGATGGGAGGGGTCCTTCATAATCCTTCTGGATTTCCTCAGGCAGCAACTGGTGTATAAATCCAATAGGTTAGGGAGCTGAACCCCGGTGATGGACTGTGCTGTCCGCACCACCCTCTGCAGAGATTTCCTCTCACGAACAGTACAGTTCCCGTACCAGGTGGTGATGCTGCCCGTCAGGATGCTTTCCACAGTGCAGGTGTAGAAGGTCTTAAGGATGCTGGGGTTCAGGCCAAACCTCCTCAGCCTTCTGAGGAAGTAGAGGCGCTGGTGGGCCTTCTTCACCACCTGTGAGGTGTGCACTGCCCATGTCAGGTCCTCGCTGATGTGAACACCGAGAAACTTAAAGCTGCTGACCCTCTCTACCGCAGTCCCATTGATGGAAATCGATGGGTGTACTGTCTCCTGCTTCCTGAAGTCCACGATCAGCTCCTTGGTCTTACTGACGTTTAGAGAGAGGTTATTCTCCTGGCACCAGTTTTCCAGGATTTTAACCTCCTCTCTGTAGGCCGATTCATCGTTGTTGGAGATCAGGCCCACAACTTATTTGGGCTCTTTCGTCATGTCTCTGTCTACTGAAGAGAAACTGTCCACAACCCCGTCCTCCTCCTCTTCCCCATACAAATCAATAACGCGCCATTGATGGTCCATCCATGATGGATTTTCTTTATCTGGCTGTTAGTTAATTTACAATTCCAGGGACTAAGTGGGTTCAACACAGCTAAGATATAATAAATACAAAAAAATACAGAGCTGATGACAAGATAAAGAGGACAAAAGACAGTTTTCCCTATACATTATTTGAGATGGCCGTCAAGGGTCCAGTTAGCTGTGAGTAGTTTTTTAGACATCTTTCTTGCCTTCACTGACATATTTGGCTAGTTTGTTATGTGCAGCGACTTTACTTTCATTTTCATTTTCATTTATTCATCCCTCATTTTTTGCCGGCCAGCTCGTTTTGTTCAATGTCTTTAAAAAAGAAGATTCTTTAAAAAGGAAAATGTAAAATTACAGTAAGCACTCACGCAACATTTTTATTGCACTTTTCCTCATTTATAATATTTATGTGAATTTATGCACAATTCATTTTAACATCACTCTCTATATACTTCACAATGAAATGAGCTGTTCTTGTTACTGTACCTTTAAGACCGCTATATGTAAATGAGCTCTGTTCTTATTGGCTGTCCTGTATTCATAACTTCAGCAAAAGTGGGTAGAGCTAATCTGCGGCAGGCTGAATAAGACTTTTTTGTGGCATCACAAACTCAAAACAGACAGTTTCGGTTTCCTTATATGGATTGTATGAAGTGGGAAGCAAACGATATGTTGTCAATCTTCAACCATGTTTAATTACTACATTCTCTTTTATGTGATATGGGCCTTTAAAATGAATAGACTGTAACAAAGAAAATGAGTCAAAAAGTGTTTATGAAAACAGGGCAAATTTATTCACATATAAACATAGGCACAGCATTCATCTGAGCGAAAAACATCCACACAAAATTTATTAATATCTACAGCAGTTGCACAAATACAAAATAAAAACCAATACTGAACAACAATACTGGTCATGAAAAGGCCAAAAAAGTCCATTTTCATTTTGTACGGCACAAATCATGGCACAGAGAGTAACATACACATACTGACCAGCTTTAGTGTGGATGGAGGCCTCGCTCCTGAATTAAAGTGCTTTCACAGACTATGAGGTGGATTAGGATGAGCGATTAAACCCAAACCCATCCAGTTCATATACACACTTTACATTAATTTATACATAAAATATCACACCGACAACCAGAAATATGTAGAGGAATTTGTGCCAGATTGAAAAGCACTGCAGTGGAAAAACGTGGAACAGCTATGCCACGTGTGCATCACATTTCACATTTTTCCACTGCAGCAATTGCTTTTCAATCTGGCACCAATTCCTCTCCATACAAAAACGCAGCATTTGGCTTCATATTGTTCATCCTATGTCCTCTTGATAACATGCACTGCATTCTGGCTTTCACTAAATAATTGCAGTCACTCCAGTGTTTTAATAAATGTAAGAAAAGCCTTTTTAAACACTCTTAAAAACGACAGTTCTGCCAAAAATCAGCCAATTTCCCCTTATTTACTCCAAATGTGGTCAATCTGCCAAGACATGTTTGGTGTCGGAAGTTTGCTTCTTAGGTTTTAGCACTGGAGCTATGAGCTAATGCAGCTAAGGTTATGTTTTAGCATAATTAGCATGGTGCTAACTGCATGCTAAATCATCACACACTTGCCTCGAAGCATGTGGAGTTCTTCAGTATGTCTATGACTTTACTATGTGGTGTCCAACACTGTATGACTCACTGTCATCTACATACATGGGCTAAAGTGTGTTAGCATAGCTAAAAACAGTTGCTTTAGTCCATGTTTATAGTTAAAAGCGTGTCATTCAGTTTCAGAAACCACATAATCAAGTCTATTAGAAATTAGTGAACAACTCCACATGCTTTGAGGTATGGCACTAATTAGCACCACGCTAATTAGTGCTAAGCTTACATTACTGTTAGCCACATTAGCTACAAAGCTCCAGAGGCAAACCTCAGGCACCAAACATATGTTGGCTGGTTGACTACATTTGGAGTAAGTTGGGGAAACTGGCTAAAAGTTATTTTTTCACCAAATTGCTTTAATTCTACTGACACCCTGAACTTAATCTAGCTTTACAAGTTTCCCGTTAGCGTTAGCGCTTCAAAACAGCCACAATGAGCTGAACAGCACTGTCCATGTATCTGTGGAAATAGTACCAACACCACAAACAGAGAAGCACAAAGCCTGATGCAGTAATGAAAAGTATTTCCATTCAGTCGCTGTGTTCACCACTGTGATTAGTCTATGGAGTTTCACATCACAGATGGGACTGTACAACAACACCCGTTTAAACAACAGGAAATGCTGGAGTGTGTTTATTCTCCGTAATGTAGCTGGGAAATAATTTATTTTTCCTGACTGGGTTGAAGCTAGCATGAAGATGACAGAACTGGACTGGCTGGAACCCGAAACTCTGTATTTACAGAAAGAGCTGATTACTGTTACAGTCAGAATATTTAGACACAGACAATATATTCCAGTTTCATGTTTTATCTGCACTTTAGTCCTATTACCCTCTCCATGTTGCACGCACAAATGTGTTTGTCTTTCACAGTTACTGTTGCGAGGTTGGATGAGCTTTATATAACGCTGGTAAAAATCCCATTCAACCCAAGGAGAAACTGTACACAGTTTTTGTCAACATACCTTTTCTGCATATAATCAAGGTTTTTAGGGATAAACGTCTGATTTATAAGCACACCCGAGTCTACACTGCAGCATGACTGAAGTTACTTTAAGGGATTTGCAAACATCGCTAGCTAGCAATGTTATACAGGCTACACTGCTAGCTACTATACCATGGCTTAAGTTACACAACGAGATTTGCTAACATTGCTAGCTAGCATAGTCATAAGCTACACTGCTAGCTACCATAGCAAGGCTGAGGTTACTCTAACAGATGCACTAGTGCTGCTAACTAGCTTAACATTCTAGCCTAAACTGCTATTTTCATTTGTTTTCAGTTATTTACATCACTATCACAACAAATTGTTGTCTCGAAATTTCAAGATATTTATGCCATTATCGCAACATAACGGATGTTATTTCAATAAAACAAATGTCTGTTATGTCATGATGATATCAATAACTCGAGAGCTCAAGAAAACAATACTCGTTTGGTGTAATAATAGTATAAATATCACAAATGAAAATAACTCATCACTGAAAAACGGAGCAAAAAAATGTGGCCCTTTAGAGCCTCTGGAACTCAATACCTTAGCATGGGGGAAGTTCCTCTTATGGATTAGATAACATTGCTAGCTACCAGAATTACTCCAAATCAGATGTTCTCAAACACGATCCTCAGGACGATCCATATTTTTGCTCCATTCATGTGTGCAGCAATGTTGGTTGGAGTAAAAATCTGGACTGTTCGGAGGTCACGGATGACTAGTCTGAGGAAATCACTGCTCTAAAAAAAATATGCTATCGTTTTCCCCATTGAACTTTTCTAACCTCACAGCAGTAACTATGGAAGAATGCATTTGTGGGCGGAGGCTGGAGAGACCAACTTATATATGATTAAGCTCTAAAAATCATGCACTGTATTACAGTGATGTCAGTTTCATCTGAGCAGGACAGACCAGCACACACAAATTCGAGCCCCTTTCACACATGAACTTACACAGGAATTTTACGGTAATTAAACGGGAAGATATTCAGCGTGAACCTGAGCCGGTGTCAAAATCCTGTAAAGTTGATGCAGAAATTTACCTGCACACGATCCAGTGCAACAACGAGAAATACAGCAATGTCTAAATTACAGCTGGCAAAGCTGAACGCTGCCTTTTTATTTTCAGCTAAATTTTTGGTTAAGTTTTGTAGAGGACATCACCTTCTGTTCACTGGGATTCTCGCGGCATATAGGAAAATGTGCATTCAGGTAAAATACTGCTGCACACATGTAAGCCCGAACATTACCAGTATAAAAGCATCTTGTTAATGTCCCGGCATTTGAGTGTGAAAGGGGCTAAACAGTCACACACAGCTGATCATTCTGTGTTAGTGTACATAAATAGACATCTGATCTGCTTCTGTGTTTGATTGTCGGAGCGTAGCGGCTAGGAGTCAGTATCACTCTTTTCCTTTGGAGTGTTTTATTAATTGACAAGCTTTACAGAACGCTGGTAAAATCCCCTTCAACCTAATGAGAAACTGTAGAAGAGACTTAGTTTATATCACAATACCTACATTTAGAACCAGTTATTCATTCAACCTAATGAGAAACTGTAGAACAGACTCAGTTTATATCACAATACCTACATTTAGAACCAGTTATTCATTCAACCTAATGAGAAACTGTAGAACAGACTCAGTTTATATCAATACCTACACTTTTCATTAACTCATTCAGTCATTCATTAAGTTATTCTTTCACTCTAAATGTAGATATTGTGATATAAACAGAGTCTGTTCTACAGTTTCTCATTAGGTCGAATGGGGGGTTTTACCAGCGTTCTGTAAAGCTTGTCCAACCTCACAACAGTTTCTATAATATGTGGGCAGAGCCTGAAGAGGACAGTTATGTTGTTCTCTATTCTGTTCAGGGAGTGCTTCTCTGAGAGAGTTACTTGTAATGGAGCTTTTTATGGATGTGTTTCAAGTGTGTGAGAGCTGAGTGTATCTATGTGTTTGGGAGTGTATGGCAATATACAGCACTGTGCAAAAGTCATAGACACTGAAGCAAACTATTTAAAACTATTTATAAGGGAAGCAAGTCTGTCCTGTACCTGACCAGTAAAAACTCCATAATATTAGAATAAATACAAAGATAAATACAGTAGTCAGTTAGAATGTGGTGTTGTCAGTAAAGTTATGAATATGTAAGTTTGAAGAATATATTGAGAAGAACAGGTTTCGCTCCTGACTTCTCACAGCACTCCAAACATCGCATTAATTTGTTCAAATATTAGCGCAAATAATTAAATAACTGCGATCAGGTGATAATGTAATAAAAAATTAATAAATGCAATTTGTGACCGGGATACTGACACACAATCAATACTTGTTATGTTAATAGTATTGTATTTGTTTTAATGTTGGTGTTTTTCTATGTGAATAAACAATTCGCAGATAAACAGCTTTTTAATTACAATTTTCTCAGGCGTCTAAAACTTTCGCACAGTGCTGTATCTAAGTGTGTGTGTGAGAGAGGAGTGTGTGGAGGTGGGAGTGTTGTATCTGCTGAGACGTGCTGCCAGAAATCGCGAGCGTCAGCGTTAAGAGGCCACACAGACATTTCCTTCGATTCCTCCTGAAGTGTCAGCTGCAATTGTGTCTTTTACAAAAAGAGCTCTCAGCACAGATAAACACTCCACACAACCACTCTCAGGATTTGAGCCCCATTCGCGCCATGAGCTGCTCGTAGACTGTCCAGGCCATAGCCGCCATCAGTGTCCTCCTCAACGACCGAGGAACAGCCCCTCGAAAAAAGCCCCGGAGACCATGCTCCTGAGAGAGAGTGGGAGACAGAGAGACAGAGAGACAGAGAGAGAGAGAGAGAGAGAGAGAGAGAGAGAGAGAGAGAGAGAGAGAGAGAGAAGTTAAGGAAAAAAAAAAGAGAGTTAATACATTCAACAAAAGCACAGACAAAATTCAGTTTCTATTTTTAGCTATGATCATGTACTTTAGTCCACGTTTACAGACAACAGTCAATCATACGGTGTCAGAAACCACAATGTTTATTAGAGATACTGAACAACTAATACACTTTGATGCGAGGCAATTAGTGCCCTTAGCACTACACTAATTTGGAGGGGTATAAGCTTCCACTGAAAACTTCTGCTAAAACTAAGGAATTCAAATTTAATAAAACATGTTCATATGGCGCTTTTTACAGTGGACATAGGCAGCTTTACACAAATCCAGGTTCCCAAATAAGCAAGACAAGCATAAGAGCAGCAAGGAAATTAACCATGGAACCAGAAGAAATGAACCAACACTCAAAAGAAAAAACTCCCAAAGAGCATGAGGAACCACTGAGAGAAACCAAGACTCAGAAAGAAACTGGGCCTACGCTACATGATTTTTTTGCCTGATTTTAAGCCTGATTTGCCCCTTTGCAACAAATTGTCACAATCTGAAGCGATTTTTCAGGTCAGGAGCTCGATCGTAAGCGACTAATGGCACGGATGATCTGTAGTGTGAGACGAGAAACGAGTGAATCTTTAGTTTTCAGATCGAACTCTGGAGTGATCAGAGGCCCTGCAATATTAACAAACATATTTGATATTCACGACTCCTGCAGTGTGAGACTGTCAACTCTGTGAGTGATTCAAGCAGCCCATCAGAGAGCTTGCGAACCTCCTGAACAGCAGAGCAGAGACAGAGGAACTGTGTGTAAAACACAGGTAGACAGCAGCCAATATCATGTTTATAATGTTTATCATGTTTATCATGCTGGATTCAGTCGTCAGCTCACTCTCTTTACACTTTCAGCTCAGCTGCCAGTGTGTAGTGGAATATTTCTCTAGCTCTCACTGTGATATCAGCGTTTCTCAGCCCCATTAATTTTCCCAGTTTGTGCTTTCGTTGGGCATAAAAGCACAAACAGGTCCAGCAATCTTAGTTTTATTTGTGTCATGTCATCTGAGGAGATCAGACAGTTTGAGTTGTTATTCATAACCCAAACTCGTTATGTGTGTTATTCTATCTCTTTGCCCAGTCATCTAGCACGAGTGCCCTCACGAAAAAAAGACAAGAAACTCTGCAACAAACTAACGTTAAATGCTCTCAGTTTTAAAAATCGAGGAAGAACCACTAAGGGGAACCAAGACTCAAAAGAGAAACTCCTCTGCTGGTCAACACCAGATAGCAAAACAGTAACACCTAAGCAATAACAGTTGTGAGAACAATGAATGAAGAGACAAAGAGAGTCTAATCATTAGAGTTCAGATTAATGCCTGGCTCGCACTACAGGATCATCAGGACGATTTTGAGGCTGATTTGCTCCTCCCTTCAATTGGAACCGGTCTCCCGATGTCAGGGTGATCTTAAACGATGATCTTCCCAGATTACCCTGTGCTGTGGGGTATCTATAATCCAATCTTTAATCCTCCAATCTACTCCTGATCCAGTTGGGGCCCTGACTGACCCTCATAAATATTAAACATATTCATTATTTGCATTGTTGTAAGCATGGTGGATAAGTCGAGAACTAAGTGGGCTACGGAGAAGGAGGGATAACATGAGTTGTGTCACCCGCATGTGACGTGAGCTGTCTGCGTAAAAAGCGACACCACCAGCACAGCAATAGCTTTGCTGTTATCTGTCATGTTTATTTAGATCTATTTAGATTCACATTAGTTTTCGAGAAACTTTCTCAGTGAAGCAGTTTGCGAAAAATCCCAGCTGTCACTGGTCAGGACTTTTGTTCGCATGCATAATCTAAAAGTGTGTGGTGTTTTATTCAGGGCAGACTGTCTAGTGTAAAGACTCTGATGACTAACAACGATCGAGGACGACATCAAAAATCAGGTCCAGGCATAAGCAATGAAAAGAAGAGAACTTCAAACACCAAAGATGACACACTTCATTCTGGGGGTTTATAACAGACCTCAGTGTGAAAGTGTACTTACGGAATAAACAAAGCGGATGGCGTCGCTGGTCCGGCGGTACAGCGCTGGGCTCACCTGCATGTGAGTTTTCACCACATCGGCCGGCTGCGTGACTAACGACGCTAAGATTCCCGCTAACACCCCACAACCGAAATTCACCACTGGGGCCAGGCCTGATGAGCTGATCTCTGATACACAGAACAGACAGGAGCAAACAATGTTTAAAACGCCACTACACTAAACACTGTCTACTTGGGGTGGGCAATATGTTAAAAAAATTATTTTGTGGTACTTCAAAACATTTTGACGATACATCACAATATTTATTTTTTCAGACACCTGATAAGCTGGAACAGAGAAGAAAGAGCCAGTAGTACTATCAAAAACTGGAACACAGTGATTTTTCTTCAATATTTGGCACTAAATCCAGTTAAACAGGACTAATTTTGCTTTCTTTATAATGAATCATGCAGTTGGTCAGTGTCTACAAGTACTGACGATACACACAATATGCTCAGAAAAGCATACTGTATTGTATGATGACATAATTTATCACAATAACAATATATACTGTCACACTGCTCAGCTCTGCTATAGCACTACAGGTAACCGTAAAAGCCAGAAATGTATGGAAGCATCACCAGATAAATCCTAACAAAAAAAAAATGGTACAAATAAATTTGTATATTTGTAATTAAATTCTTATTATGGATATATTAAAACCTATTTTTCTACACTATTTAAAACACTGCTCTTTAGATTGTATGAACATTATCATTATGAACGGGCCAATATAAAATGACTTTAGTGTTCATGTTAAGAATGTTTTATATTCTTCTCCCAGATATTATTTTAGGCATATTAGGTTTAACAACATGCACTTCATGGCTGAAAATGGAAACAAACTCATTAATGCCATTTGGTCTACTAATATTGACGTGCACTTATCCACTCAATATTTATACACAAATTACACAGTTGTCCTTATTTAATTTTGCATATTGTTGCAGTCGGATCTCCGTTGTGTCTTTACACCAGGTGTTCTTCACATTGTGTGCACATTTCATGATTAAATGCACCAACAGAAATGATCCAAACTGACTAAAATGTCAATACATCAAGTTACTTCAATGTCAGTGATGTTTTTTTCCTTCTCCTGCAAACTTACATTAAAGACACAAGGCTTTGCTCAGAGAGTGACAATATGTAGAGACTTAAAAAAAGAAATTATATATATATATATATATATATATATATATATATATATATATATATATATAGCTGCAGTCTCGACCTCCATTTTTGTAGTTTTTGACATTTTGAAAATGCCATTTTGGAATGAGTTTTTTTTCTGACAACAATATACAGCGTGATTCAAAAAGATTGATCCGATTTCAAAATGATTTATTTCACTAGTAAATCATTACAGAACAATGCAGTAAATTGTAAATGGTTTAAATGGGCATAAAGTTTATTATGTAATTTTACAAGTGCTCAATATGACGTCCTCCAGTTGTACGGACAACATCAACGCAATAGTCAAATTCATCCCATACTCGATTGAGCATGTCGGGTGTCGCTGCACTCACAGCTCTTTTAATGTGATTTCGCAGATCATCCAGTGTTGTGGGACCAACGACAAATGCTCTGAGCTGATGGAGGTTCACTGCTGACATAAATCAGATTCACTCTTATTGAAGTGGCGAAACGCTTTCTGCTGAGGGATCGCCATCTCCAGTGACAGTCAGAAGCTCTATGACCCCCTCTTTCGTATTGGTATGTGACTGGTTCCTAGGTGCCTCATGGTTGTAAAAATATGGCGCTTTGAAATCGGATTAATCTTTTTGAATCACCCATATAATAGACAATACATAACAATCTAATAAAAACAGTATGTTCTGACCATGTGGCAGAGCTCGTTTAGCCTGGCTGTAGAACATAACGTAGATTCCAGAGAATGGAGCGTCTCGGAGCAGTGTGGCTGTCAGGCCGGAGTAAAGCGCCCATGGACCCTCTGTCTGACACACACTTCTCAGAGCCCCGAAAACGCTCACATAGTTATACCGCCCACTCTGAAACACACAAACACATTTTATATGATTCAGAGCCTAAAACTAAACAAGTCTGTCCCAAAACATAAAACACAGAGAACAGACATTTAAACTACAACAAAGAAGAATCTACTGATCGGTAGTATATTGGTTAAAATCCTTTCTCAGGTTTGGGTTTGGTCATAACCGTTACGGTATGCCCAAAATGGGTATAGTCTGGTACTCCACTTTGCATCTGAGGCAGCAAACATGGCAAAGAAACTGAAGCTGAAGCTTTTGTGCCACCTTAAAATGGAAGAATCTAGCAGTTACAATCAGCTTATACAGGTGGCTGCTGCTCCATTTAAAGCCAGTGTTACACTACTTGACTTTTACCCTGATTTTAGCCCTGATTCTCAGTCTGGCTGAGTCTGGGCTGGTTGGCTCCAGTCTGCAGATTTTGGGTCAGTTGGAGTCAAGCAGTGTGTGAGCAGCACAGACTCAGATTTCAGGCCTCCCGAACGAGTGTGCGAGTCACAATATTTCAGTCACCCAAATAAATTTGCAGAAACCAGTCAGAAAGTGTGAGACACCAAGTCTGTTTATAATCTGTTACGACTTTAAAAGTCATGTAGTATACCTAAGATGGAGGTGGAATGGAAAATTCAAACAAAAAGATGCCAAATATTATTTGAACCACAGTGTTATGTGGAAATATATTCCTAATGATAAGTTAGTCTGGCAGTGATGGTCAGCTAGGAGATTAGCGTCAGAGACCTCAGTGCTCACCTCGAATCGGGTTTTGATGACGGTAACAGGCAGCATGGCGATTCCGGCCACGCAGCGCGCCCCGGCACCCAGCAGCACTGCCTCGCCTGCGTTCGGGGCTCGGTCCTCAAAAAAGTGCTGCTTCAGCGAATAAAACGTACTGAAATAAATACCCACACCTGGAATACAGCGCATAAACGACTGCAGAGGGGGAGAGGGGAAGGGAGAGAGAGAGAGAGAGAGAGAGAGAGAGAGAGAGAGAGAGAGAGAGAGAGAGAGAGAGATGGGTTAAGTCTTCATGTAGGTCAATTCGATTTATTTTACACCAACAACAAGGATGCATATTACACACTCATGTTACATAACAGCTGTTACATCACAAATCTTAGTAACATTAAAGGAATCATGCTTCCATTCCTGTTGCAGAACTTGTACATCTTAAAGTGATATGTACCTCAAATACAATCACTCAAGACACATTCGGTGTCTAAAGCTTGCTTCTTTAGTTTTAGTGCTGGAGCCAAGAGGCTAATGTAGTTAACAAATAATGGAAGCTTATAGCCCACCAATTAGCATGGTGCTAATTGCATGCCTAAATCATCACTCTTGCCTTGAAGTGTGACTAATAGACTTGATTATGTGGTTTCCAACACCATATGACTCACTAGCCATGTTTACATGGAGCCTAATAATCCGACTAATAGCTCAATCGGAATAGAATGCCTGTATCTGCTTACATCCCTAATCAGAAAGTTTAAGTACGCTCTGCTCATGTGTGTTCGTGTCATAGTGACGCGAACACACATGACAAGAGCAGAAACTGGTCTGCAGAGGAGACGAAGTTTATGCTTTGAGCTTGACGAACATGACGCTCTGAATAAGTACATGTGAAATACATTTTCCTGAATCTGACATAATTTTAAAGCAATTAAAAACACAAGCACTGCCTACTGCTGCTCGTCTCACTCTAACTGGATTCACGTGATGTTCGCTGTCATGGTAACGTGTACACGTGTACGTATGCACGTAATTCTGGATCGGATTTCTTGTAGTTTGCATGTAAACAGACATTTTCATCAGATTGTTGAGTAGAGTGAGATATAAACACCTCAGTCTGAATCTATAATCGCAATGAATTCAATCAGATTGGCAAAATTCTTTGCATGTAAACACAGCCAGTGTTATCTATAAACATAGACTAAAGTATGTTAACATAACATAGAAATAACATAAAATAGAGCAGCCATTGTTATTTTGTCTGTACTTTAGTCTGTTTTTTGTTTTTGTGGTGAATAGGTGATGATTAAGTCATGGAGTTAGCACTATGCTAACTGGTAACTGGTGGGGAAATATGCTTTACTAAGCATATTGTGGATATCGTCAGTACTTAAAAGACACTACCTATGTTTCATTACAAAGTGAGCATAATTAGGCCTGTTTAATTGAATTTAGAGCAGTGCAGTTTGTGAAACACTGAATAAGTTTCACTGGTTAATATTATTAATATTATTATGGCACTAAAGGTTTTATTTTGTCTGTTTCTACTATTATTAAATCTCAGAAAAAACAAAATATTGTAATGTATATTTTGTATCACAAAAACATCTTGAAATATCATTATATACGTTTTTGCCACATCGCCCAGCCCTACTACAGACACCAAACATTTCTTGGCTGATCGATGATGTTTGGGGTAAGACGAGAAATAAAAGGACAAGAGGTAACGGATACTCACTGGAGACACACCCTTCCACAGACCGAACAGCCTCTCTGTACGGACCACCGTAATGAACACACTCAGCATCCCCACCTTAGGAGACCTGAAAGAGAGAGAGAGAAAAACAGAGAGACAGAGAGAAGTAAGTGATAAGGTACTGATAATTAATACGTAACACATGCACATACTGCCTGTTATAGGTCTGGGGTTATCTAGAACTTATAAGAATTTCAGTAAAGTAAGAACAAACCGAAAGCACACGCTGAAATTGTGGCTCAAAGTTTTAAACATCTGAAAAGTGTGAGTACAGAGTTCAACAAAAACATTTGGTACACATCCCTAGATGTTTACAGACATTTCTAGACATGGGTAAATGTTTCTAGATATTTCCAGACATTTGTAAACAGGCACTGATATTTCCACACAGTAAACCATTCCAAGTGGTGTGTTTCTTTACACAGGTAGATGTTTTCAGATGTTTCTTAATGTTTGCTAACATGTGTAAATGTTTCTATATTCGAGTAGATGTTTCAAGATGTTTCTAGATGTTTCTAGATAAAGACAGACAACTGTAGATGTTTCTTGATGTTTGCTGGCAGATGTAGATGTTTCTAGATGTTTGCTGACAGGTTTAGATGTTTCTAGATATAGACAGATGTTTGTAGATAACTGTGTGTGTATTTCTAGATGTGTCTACATGTTGTGTTTAGATGTTCCTAGATGTTTGCACATGTTTCTAAAAGTTTCTAAATGTTTGTAGATGTTAGTGTGAGCTCACCCTGGACTGAGGCTGTTCTGCAGCGTCTGCAGGCGAGTCTTGACCAGGTCCAGAGGCTGGAACAGCAGTGTAGAACAGGTTCCACTAAGAGAACCACACATAAACGCCTTCAGAGCAGGGTGAGCCTGAGAGAGAGAGAGAGAGAGAGAGAGAGAGAGAGAGAGAGAGAGAGAGAGAGAGAGAAATAAGGGGATGAAAAGCAATTTTATCATTTAACAACAAAATTATGTGCATATGCATTCTAAATCACAGTAGTTCCATGAATGGACAGATAAGAAACGAATATATATTAATTAAACAAAATCTGCACAATCCCAGCACAACATTAAATAGAGATGGCACCGATCCAATACCAGCACCATCATAGGGCTGATATCTGATCCACTTTTTCTGCTGATATCAGAAAAAAAACCAAAACAAATCTGATTCTGTTAACAAAGCGAAGTAAAGTAGGTCACTGAAACCAGCAGCCAGCTATGAAGAGCTGGATAAATATTATACTACAATTACAATTACTCTAATTTTACTGTAAATTGTCTACTTTTGCACACATTTGCACTGTTCCTCTGATAGTTGTTTTTTTGGTAAAAAATGTACTGAATATAAAAACTTTCACACTGTTAACTATTCAGATTGAGTGGTTTCAAAAAGATACTTTTAGTTCTTCAAAACTGCTTAAAAAGCTATTTTTTCTTAACATAAGAAAAACACATCAGATCGGAATTGGTATCAACCAGTACCAGAGACGTTCACAAGTCCACAAGAGTCTTTGAGGTGTGAATCCCAGTCGTGAGTCTTTAAGGAGCAAGTCTGAGTCGAGTCTTTGAGGTGCGAGTGGAGCCTTTCAGTTGTGAGTCCAAGACGAATCTCTGGGGCACGAGTCAGAGTCAAGTCACAAGTCACTTAAGGGCAAGTCACAAGTTAGTAAGTTAGTTAAACGCAAGATGCGCAGCAACTCCGTGAATGTGAGTCTGAATAGCGAGTTAGTAAAAGAGACTCTGAGCAGCGAGTCAGTTAAGTGCGAGTCTGAGTAGCAAGTCAGTTAAGTGTGAGTCTGAGCAGCGAGTCAGCTGAGGTGAGACTAAGTCAAATTGCAAATAAGTTCAAAGCGAGTCTCTGAGTCAAGTTTCTGGAGTGCAAGTCAAAAGTCATTTAAGGGTGAGTCAATTTGTCAAAGTCAGTTAAGGGCGGATCATGTTGCCAGTCAGTTAAGTCAAGTTGTTGGTCGGTTAACAGTGAGTCTGGGTCGAGTAATGAGTTTGTCAGCATTCAACTTTTGTGCGATTCAAGGCTAAGTCACTGACTCGAGGCCCAACTTTGAGGTTTTTGTATCAGTAATGGAAAAAGAAAAATGGTCATTGTACCATCTCTAATAACAAACATGTAAAAAAAACAGATACTGACAACGAGTAAACAAAAACAAATAACACTGACCACCGAAGGGACACACACTTTACAAAAGCACAGTAAGCCATGATCGGCAAGATCACGAAACACTGACACACACACACACACACACCCTGAACCTATGTTTACACTGTCACATTTGCATAATCACACACAGGATAAATTTAGGAAGTGCAGCAAAAATCCTGATAACACTCAGTCTGGTTTTACTATACTTGTGAGGACTTCCACAGACTAACGACACCTACACCTAACCCCAACCTTTACCCTAACCTCAGTAACCAAACAGCAATCATTCTGGGGCCTAATGTATAAAACATCATTGAATTTAATTCTAAATGTGTTCAGAAGTAAAACATTTGTTGTAATGACTCTAGCAGACTGGCACTGCCATTTGCTATCACGATTTGTTTGTATGTAAAATTGGAAACTTTTTGACCAGCAAAAAGGTCCTCACTTGTACACAATCTTGTTATCCTACCATTGTGAGGACCTCACTTGGCTAACAAGACAGGCACATACACACACACACAGTAGACCTGATGAAGATGTGTGCAGACAGCTGCCTCACACACACAGGGCAGGATGTCACACTCCATCACACAGAGAGCAAAGCGCGCACACGCACACACACACACACACACACACACACACAAAAACAAACACAGTAAATCAATGTTTCTCCATCCGCTCCTCGGGCCTCAAGACGTTCCACGTTTTTGCTCCAACCAAACTCACAACGTACAGGGAGGAAGCAAATATACAGATCGTCTGAGGGCCCTGAGAGCGGACTGAGAGCCACAGCACTAAAAAAGACAATTCATATCTACACACGCAAATAAACAGAGAAGTGTGAGTGCGCACACTGGTCCCCCCTACCTTCCCCAGGCCGCTGGCTGATTTTGGCTGAGCGTCCTTTTTCTCCTGCATTCTCTACTGCTACAAACAGCATAATAAACAATAAACCCCCAATCACAGCAAAAAAACAACACAACAACACATCACACGGTAACCACCCGTCTGTCTCTTTTCCCTCTATCTCTGAATGATCAAGCCTGCTGAGCAATGCTCGCTCTCTCTCTCTCTCTCTCTCTCCCCTTATTTTTCTCTCTCACTCTGCCCTCTTTCTCTTTTAATCCTCTCTTTCCCTCCCATTCTTTCACCCTTTTTCCTCCAATGCTAAAGCCTGCTCAGCTCTGCTCTCTCTCCTCCGCTGCTCCTCTGTTCCTCTAACTCAATCCTCTCTCCCTCCTTACCTGCCTTTTCCCTCTCCTTTTTCTCCCTCTCTCCCCTTCATTCACTCCATCCCCTCTTTCTCCCCTCCTTTCTGCCTTTCTCTTAATTCTTCTCCTCCTCTCTCTTCTGCCTTCCACAGCAGCTTCAGCTGTTTTAATCCACAAGCCCCTCTCTCTCTCTCTCTCTGTTTTCCCCCAAACACCCTCTCTCTCTCTCTCTCTCTCTGTATATCTCATTCTGTCAGATCGTGTCTATTCAGATTCACCATGACTCATGTACTTGCCGAGGGTGTGTGTGTGTGAGTGTGTGTGTGTAAATGTGGGTCACTAAAAGAGAGAGTGTGTGTTTATGTGTGTGTATATATATATATATATATATATATATATATATATATATATATATATATATATATATATATATATATATATATGTATATGTGTGTGTGTGTGTGTGTGTGTGTGTGTGTGTGTGTAGCGGTGTAGGGCTCTTGCACCTTTAACTGCCAGAGAATTATAACACCCCCATCTTCTAAAACTGGGTTAAGCTTTGTGCTCCCAGCAGCCACTGCAGATTCAGCATGGTCTGCCAGAATTCATCTAGTATGATGAAGAGGATGGAGAAAATCACGACGGCCAACAAGACTAAAGGCTGGTACTCAAATAGTGCGAGCCCTAAAGGCTAGCACAAAAAAAAAGAAAAAAAGAAAAAAGGTGAGAGCCCTAAAGGCTGACACTAAAAGACTGAGTGCCCTAAAGCCTGGCACTAAGAGACTGAGAGCCCCTCCAGCTCATGCACTACACTGAACATGTTGTATATAAGCTGTACACATCTACAATCTGTATAGACCAGCAATATAACTGTATTTCTTTTGACACTCATCACAGAAAATCTTTGTATATCTTATATTTCAGAAATAAAATCTCAAAGGCTCATTTTGATTCTGACCGCAAACTCCGTCTCTGTCCACTTCACCCTCAGTCCAGCTGCTCTACTGCCTGGCAACAACCAATTATCACAAGAACCATCATTATCTCCACCAATGAGCGAACGACTGTGGTGTTTTTTCTAAGCCTGATGGTTTTGGAGTCTGCTTTAAAACTGACAGCGTACTGCTGACCCTGGTGACCTTAAAAAAAACCTAACTTATCCTGCTCACATATTCACTGCAGTGTCCAGTTAGTTTTATCTTTTTTTTTTTAATTTCCATTTCATTTATGCAGTTTGATGTCAAGCACACTGAGCTGCAATCCTGCCCGAACATAACCCTAATCAGATACAGTTTCACATAATTATTACTATTATTATGGTAATAATAATAATAATAATATTTTTATGATAATAATAATAATAATAAATGATAATAATATTCAGCCAATTGACTTAAAAATATTAAAGTTAACACTTTGAAGAAGTTTTATGGATTTTTATTAATGATATTTGTGTGATTGTGTACCAAAAATTATCATAATCATTTTATATGCATGCCCATTTTCCCACCTTACTTCAGAATTAAACAGGCTGTTTTTGTTGTGCCTTCAAGACCGATATAAGTAAATGAGCTTTGTTCTGACTGGCTGCTCAATACCTAAAGCAGGCCAGGCTGAAACACTTCATTTAACTTCAGCATGAATGGGTGGGCTAAACTGCCATAGGATGAATAGGTGGATGTATGTAAATGATTTGTTTTATGTGACATACAGTTAGTAGCTTTTGTACAAAATCATGGGTTGTAAATACTTAATCATTTTTATACAGATAAATGTGCTCGTTTACTCAACACAGAACAGCATACAATGTTTAAGCACTGCTGTTAAATTTTTTAACACCTTTGAACGCCAATATTTTAAATTGTTTCAGAATTAAAGTAGGCTCCTGTGTTAACAGCCAGAAACGTTCAGTTTTCCGTTTTTAGCCGTTTCATTCCATTCGTCTTCACTGTAACGTGAGATAAGGGCCTTTTAAAGCAAGTAATCTATATGTATGAATAACTCACCATCACGACCTCCATGATGGATAAAGAAGATGAAGATGTGGGTGGATGTTGTGGAGAGGAAGAACTGAACTCCCTCACTTCTCTCTCCTTTCTGGCCGTTGTGTTCTCTGTTACAGCAAGACTTTACCTTCCTGAGTGAAAGAAAAAAAAAATTGTATTATTAGGACACAACATCATAACAAATTCATGACACTGACATACAGTGGAGAACAGATGAAGACAGAAAATACAACCCTAATAATTACACAGGAATTCTTCATAATATTGCTGGAAAACGCATCATTTTAATCAAATAACATATGAGTTTGTAATAAAAACTGAAAGTGGCGAAGAGGACTAGCACTACCAAGAGTGAAAGCCTTAAAGGCTGGTACTACCAAGAGTTAAAGCCCTAAAAAACTGGCACCAGAAAGAAAGCTTAAAAGACTCGTACCACCATGAGTAAAACACCCTCAAGACTGACACTACCAAAAGAAAAAAAAACTAGACTAACACTAGCAACAGTCAAAGCCCTAAAGACTGCCATTACAATGAGCAACAGCACCCATAAAGTTCCTGACATTGACATACAGTGAAGGACAGCTAAAGATACAGAACACGACCGCAATAATTACAGAGGATTCTTTCATAATACGGGCCGGACACGTGCAATTTTGATTAAATAACATTTATGAGAGTTCGTACCTGAGTTAACGTTAGTCCACTATTAAGGACCGAAGATGGTGAAGATGACGAGGGGGTGTTTTGGTGCTGTGAGCATCATGCTGCAGTTTGGAGCTTCGAGCTCAGACTGATCTGGACAAAAACACCTAAAACAGAACCAAAAATACACAATAACAGCAGATTAACATAGAACTGAATGGAAAAAACAAGCAAAACAAATGACAGTGTTTAACTTGTTAGAGCTCCGACCTGCAGAGCCGGCTTTTCTAGAACATTCGCGGTTCCGTTAGCAGAGCACAGGCGTTGAGGACATAAGCTAAACGTTTATGTCCTGATTTTCACTACTGTTTATCTAACTTTTCTCTAAAAGTCCGTTTGTCACACACGCTGATGCAACCCTGTCACCTGCTAAACTAGCATGCCGGCTAACAGCGCTAGCGTGGTTGGTGTTTGACGCCGCTAACGACAGCCAGCCTCGCTGAAGTTGAAGTCCGGGCGCGTTTCAATCGACACGCATGTTCCCTGTTTAGGCCGCCTCGAAGGGAGCACGCTTACAGCCGCCATTTTGAAGGTTTTATTGCAGTCACTACGTGAATAAGCATAGCCACCAAAACAACCTGTATTTTTAAAAATATAAATACGGTTTACATTTACATAATTTACATTTTATTCATTTAAAGTCTCATGAACAAGCAAGTGTTTAAAAAGGGTGACAATGTCTAGAAATAAGCTAGATGATCTTGAAATAAGCGCACAACCATCTGAAAATAAGAAATATTACATAGATCGACTAGAATTAAGATAATTTCACTTGACAAGATACTATTTTTTGCAGTGTGCTCTGTGTTGAGCTGAATGATGAATAAAGTGACACCAACACATCAGCTTTATGTAAGGGGGCATTTATTTTCTACACAGGACGGAGGTCACCGTCAGGGTGGAGTGTGTGGGTAGTGGTGCAATAAAAAGCACTTTCTCTCAGCAGATCATGGCCTCCCCTTGTTTTACTCTCTGCTGGCGTGATGATGATGATGATGATGATGATGATATACATTCTCCCCATTTACTGAACCGTATGGAATGCACATATATATGAGAAGAGTGAACCAGTTTCATGGTGTATGTAGTGCACAGAGGTAGGGAGCACAGAGCCATTTGAGATCCAGCCAGAATGAACTCTGACCATAAATTAAAATAATGCATGGCCACAATGTATTAACGCATGGGAACAAGATGCTAATGAATGGCCACGGCTTAGTAAGGCGTGGGAACAAGATTATTAAGTCATGGCCACAAGTTAGTCAGACATGGTAACAAGGCTTAATTACCTCATTCCCATGCTACTAAGTTGTGGCCACTCAATAGGATCTTGTTCCCATGCCTTACTAAGTCATGGCCACAACTTAATTATCTCATTGCCACACTTTACTAAGTCATGGCCATGACTTAATTATCTTGTTCCCATGCTTTACTAAGTCATGGCCAGGCATTATTATTATTACTTATATGCTATGTCACCAGCAGGACTCTGTACCATTACAATTTAACAGGTGTCAGAAAATCCTGATATATCGTGCATCACGAAAACTTCTTGAAGTATCGTTATATTACATTTTTACCATATCGTTCAGGTTAAAAACGGACAGTATTCTTGACTTCTACAATCTGGTAGTGCATAAAAAACACATCTGTGCTAACACAACTCACAAGCTGGATTAGCGTTACAGAAATAACACAGTTGTATGCTAGCAAAGAATATATCTTCAAAGTGGTTTGTCAGCTATTTTGTAGTTAGAACTCTTGAGTAATAAGTCTTTCAGTCCTTCTTCAGTCAGTTCACTACACAGTGAACACTTTGTAGTGAGCCGTGAGTGAACTTTTCCTGAAGGGTTGTGTTCTTGTGTAGTCGACACAAGGATGCAGATTGGAACGCAGCCCCGGAACTCCTCTACGTGTTCAGCCTTGCAGCGTTCAGCGCAGACTCACTCATAAACAGACAGTAAGAGAGAAATGAGGCGTATAAAACTCACGCTCTCTTTTCTTAATCTGTCCTGTGAGTGAGAACAATACTGAAGAAATAAAATAGTAAACTGGACGCGACGCTGCTGCTCGTTTTCGGCGTTAGCAGTGATGACTTTGGGGTAGAAACGCAAGTAACTTTTTAACGTAAATTGCGCAACTAGAGAGGAACCGGTTTGAACTCGCTTCATCCGGCAGCGGCGCTGTGACTCACAGTGCTGCCCTCCAGCGGACAACCGAGGAAACACAACTGTTCCAGTCATTTCTACAGGATTTCTATAAGATTCTAATATTAAATACAGAAAATAGGAATCATGTAAATGTAGAACTGGATTACTGGATTCTGTAGACAGGGGTGTCATTTTTAATTTTTTTATTATTTTTATTGTATTTGATCTTTAATATTACATTGAGAGAATATATATTGTAGAAAATAACAGTTGGGGTATTATACAGATCAGACAATTTGATACATTATTACAGAGAATTACATTCTCAGCACTGCAGTCACACTGATGTGGAGGTGTTGTGTTAGTGTTTGTTGCAGTGCTGCTGGAGTTTTTAAACACCTCAGTGTGGCTGCTGGACTGAATGCCAAAAACATCCAGCCAACAACATCCTGTGGGCAGTGTCCTGTGACCACTAATGAAGGACTAGAAGATGACCAACACAAACTGTGCAGCAACAGATGAGCTATCGTCTCTGACTTTACATCTACAAGGTGGACCAACAAAGTACGAGTGTCTAATAGAGTGGACAGTGAGTGGACACAGTGTTTAAAAACTCCAGCAGCACTGCTGTGTTTGATCCACTCAGATCAGTGCAACACACACTAACACACCACCACCACCACCACATCAGTGTCACTGCAGTGCTGAGAATGATCCACCACCCAAATAATACCTGCTCTGTGGGGGTCCTGTGGGGGTCCAGACCATTGAAGAACAGGGTAACAAAGTATGCAGAGAAACAGATGGACTACAGTCTGTAACTGTAGAACTACAAAGTGAAACTATATGATCAGTGGAGCTGATACAATGGACAGCGAGTGTTCAGCCAGTGTATAAAAATAAAATGAGACATTATCTTTACTTTAGGATTATCAAGAACACAATGTGAGGGTTATATTTTAAGTTTTATCCATGGATGTTCTTTATTCCTGTTTCATTAACACAATAAGACCGCAGCATGCATTCCCAAGTAATGTTTAAGAGGATGCTTCCTGTTTTAAAAATAAAATTATTTATGTTTTCAGCATGAGTCTTTTATAGCCTTTCATTTTGCTAATGTTTAATCAGGCCATAAATAATTCCAGGCACACACCAAACTGTATATTATGCACTAGAAAAGAGTACATTATTAATAACTGCGTGATTCAAACATCAACACAGACTCACACAGCAGTAATGAATGACGCTCATGTTTTGGACGCATCTTTATTCCTCTGTGATCAAGTTCAGGTAAAAAGACAAAAGTACAAAAGTTATAAAGCTACAGTTCAGTACAAAAGTGGGTATGAAGTTGCATTAAAGTGAGACCTGCAGTCATAGAAATAGATCTGTTTATGCTGCAGTGCATTTAATAAAGGAGGAGAGGAAGAGGCTACAGACACAGACCACATGAACAAAGGCATTTCAATATAAATCCCTCCACCCAGAAACAAGCCCCCTGTTAATAACCTAGCTAAATATATTAGAGGCTTATATAAAGGAATAACAGTGCAGTGAAAAACGTTAAGGCTTAATTAGGAGTTGCGCTGCTGAGATCGTCAGACTCTCCTGGGTGAACGCTGATGCAACTTTAACACAAGATTACAAGGCAACTTTATAATAAATGATATAATGTGAAAATTCAAGTGATGTGTGAAAATGCAGTATGTCACCCTAGTGCTATCAAACAAAAACATTTTTGTGGGGAAAACAAACAAAAACAAAAATAAGTTTACATTTTTGTAGGACAAAGAAAAATAAGAACTGGGTGCTAACTTGGCAAAAATACGCTTTTCTTTCATCAAATACAAGAGAATAATGTAGAAAAATAGAAATCTCTGAAAGCAATTTGACTTTTTGGTCCATATTGTGGATCAAAGAGACTGTAAAGCCTTTTAGAGAAGAGCAGAATGAACCTCGATCAAAGGGAGAGTTAAAATTAACAGCACAGTCACGATTCTCTGTTATGCTGGAACAGCTGGATCTGCGCAGGTTTTAGCCACATAGAGGTGGAAAATATTGGTCTAGAGAACTTAACTGGGGCTTTAAATACGTTCTAATATATTTCCAAACTGCTGCCACTTTCATTCCGAGCAGTCAACAGAAATTTGAATGAATTTGCTTCATTTACACTCACAAGCACATCCACATTGAAGTGTAATCTGGTTTAGCACCACATGGAGGAGCACATTTCAGAATAGTAAGGTTAACTAAAAGTAAAGTGTGGTGAATGATCAGACTAATCAGATCGAGACTGAGTTGCAATAAAAGATCCAGGTCAGATTCAACTGTCGCAGCCTTGAGAAACCGACCGGCCAATTTTGATTTATTTTTGTTACTCTGGTGTTTCTGACGCTTCACTTGTGACGTCCAGGTCCTCTTCGCTCTCCGCACCGCCGCGTGTCCCAGTGCCACGGCGAACGTTCAAGGAGAAATCCGCACCGCGCCTGGGGGGGACTAAATGAATCATAATGCTATTAATTCTGCTTCAAAACAACCACCAGAGGGTGACATTTATACAATAATTTACAGAAACCCATACCTGCGAGTGAAACAGCTCAGAAACCAGAGACTCTGACTTTTACCTCAAAAACTTGAGACTCTACTCAGACTCTTACCTCAAAACCTAGAGACTCTACTCAAGACTCTCATCTCAGATTTGAGAATTAACCAGGACTCGCACCTCAGACACTCTAGACTCGACCGGGACTCACACCTCAGTTGACGTTACAGTGTCAGTAGTCTTACCTGAGCTAAATGTTACAGTGTCAGTAGTCGTACCCAAGTTATGTAACGTGTGTTGTGTTGTACTGTGTTACGGTGCAGGTTTGAGGAGCAGTCATACCTGAGTTTGCTCTTCAGGGTAGTGACCTCGCGGTTCATTACACTGCTCGCCTCTGTGGCGTCCTCCAGCTCTCTTTGCAGCTTCCTGCGGGAGGCATTAGCACGCTGAGCTTCTTCCTCCGCCTCCTCCAGCTGACGCTTCAGCAGCTTCACACGAGTGTTCGCCTTCTCCATCTAAACACACAGATTATGCACAGTATTGTATTGTGTCATTAAGAAGAGCATGTCTCCATGTTGGTAGGTGAGCTGTAACTCTGTGCTCTGATAGAGCTCGTCTCATTACTGTTACTGCAGATACAGCCCTGCACATGGACAAACAACAAAACAGACCAGAATGACCACGAAAAACATGGATATGTGGATGCTTTAGATGCATCTGCAGAAAACACTAAAAGAGAAGATT